CTCTCTTGTTGTTTGACTTGCTCCCCGTGCTTTTGGAGTTGCAAGTGCGGCTGCTTGCTCTCCTCTTGGGCCGAATGCTGCTCCTTCTGCTCAGGGAAATAGTTCGGCTCTTGCTGGTGAAGCAAATGCGTGTATTGTTCCCTTTGTTGAACGCCGTAATGTTGCTGACTTTGTGGAGGCTGGGGATTCCCCTGCTGCTGAGAAAAGTACTGCTGCTGTTGTTGTTGAGGCCAGTACTGCGGACGTTGCTGCTGTTGCATCAAATTCTGCGTATGTTGCCGTTGCTTTTGCAAATCCTGCTTCCCCTGCTCCTGCTGTTGAAGCAGATAATTCTGCTGCTGTGCGTGAGGCCAATACTGAGGATTTTGCTGATGTTGGAGCAAATATTGCGCATGTGGCTCTTGCGGAGCAAAATGCTCCTGCTGGTCCTGTTGGTGAAACAAGTGCTGCTGCCGCTGTTGTTGATGCCAATAATGCGAATACTGCTGCTGGTGCAGGAGGTACTGCGCATGCTGCTGTTGTTGAGGCCGATTCTTCTCTTGCTGAGGCAGATGCTGCTGTTGCTGCTCCCGTTGGTCGAACATGAACTGTTGCTGCGCCTCGTTGGCCCAGTAATGAGGATGTTGCTGATGCGGCAGCAAATACTGCGCATGGTGTTGTTGCTGAGGCAAATGATGCTGTTGCTGGTCCTGTTGCTGAACCTGGTACTGATCCTTGTCTTGCTGCTGCCAAAGCATCTGCTGCCAATGAAGGTGCTCTCTGTACATTCGCTGTTGTTCCCTGTGGTGACGACGCTCTCTCTCCAGTTGCTCCTGAAGCTGTTGCAGCTCTCGCTGCAGCCTCTTTATCTCCAGAAAGGGTGTATTCATTGTACCCGGATCATAATGGTGAGCAGAATGCTGGTATCGAGGGGACCTCAGCAGTTCTGTCACACTACCCTCTGACGGCCGCTGCTGCACTGGTTGTCCGTGAGACGGAAATGGTGTGAGGTCATGCTGTTCTGGTGTTGGACCATCTCCAGGTGGGAAATAACCGAACGGAGGTCCGGCGATGTCATGCACAACCACCTGGTCCTGCTGGTCTCCTTGAAGAGGACTGCGTGCATCGTCATCTGTCCCAGTTTCACCCTCTCGTGGCAAAACTCTCTTTTTAATGGGAAGCTTCACGTGTTGGGATTCAGAGTCTATGGGAAACTGTATAGGCTGACCCTCCTCATCTTCGTCACCAGTGCTTCCGCAAACATCAATCGACCCGTCGCTGTCTTCCGAGTTGCCCAGCCTGCGGCTTCCAAGGCTCTGCACTGCACGTCTCTCCAAAACGCGCGAACAGAAAGAAATGAGTATTGCGATTGCTGCAGCCGAGGCTAAGGCTGCCACAAGTACACGCAGACACGTGCCGGAACGACAGCCTTTGTCTATCACGTTACGCGCACGAACACAGCCCGATCCCACTGTGAGCAACGATGAAGATGTAACGGCTGAAGCAGCGCTTGGAGTTGCATTTTCGTTAAGAATATTACGCAGCTCTGGCATTTGGCTGCAACTTCAAAGTGTTAAAGATGAAGCCATTACTCGCGCAACCCGCAACAGCAGTGTGCGTCCTGTGTGACTCGGAATACACCGCAGGCTTCCACCCAGCCAACAGACAGGGTGCTACAATGTTCAAATGGTTGGTAGACGCAGTAAACTTGCTTATTTGTTGTTTGCAAGGGTGCTATTAATGAAATAGAATCTAAATGTGGGTGAAAATGAGTCTACGCATGAGCAAAGCAATGTAGGAAAAGTTTTCAGCGGTGCACGGAAACGGAGGTCGAGAAATCAGCAGAGGGTTACATAAACACAAAAATGGTCCTAGCGGAGAGGAAACATATCAACAAAACAAAAATAGGGGATAACATTAGCTCAAATGGAAGTGCTCTCACGGTGAGCTTTGAACGTCCGTGGGGAAGATCGCGTTCTGTCGCCGTCCCCTGCATGCCGTGAAGCGGTGAAACCCTAGCTACAGCCACTCACCGTTCAGCCTTTGTGGGACTCGGGGGAAAACCAGTGAAGGGACACCCTAATTTCCGCTTACTAAGTTGCTAAGTTGTTAGTACTATTCGTTGCAGTGCGCTATCTCCCCTTGTTGAGAACGGACATCGGCGGAGCAGGCATCGGCGCTCGGCCAATCAAAATGTAACCCGGAGGCAATCTTGCTATTAACTGCAACTACAGTTTTCTATCTCTGAGCAAATCGCTTTAAGACTTTCCAATAAACAGGTGGGTTGCCGTGCACTTCCCAAACTTCGAGGGCACCGCTCCCTGTGCAGGGGTGCTCCAAGGCCTGGGGCTACGGAGCAGGAGGCCGCCTGATATGGGATGTAAAGCATCTTCTGAGTACAACTTGGTGTACAAAGCAACCCCACATACAACACACAGCCGAGCCCCTTCTCCTGCATGCACTAGCACTGCAGTCTATTACTTGCTCGGCTTTTTACGTGCTTGGCCGTGCAGGGAAGTAGAGGCGCATGTATCAACATCAGGCAGTAAGTCGCTTGCGGTGTAATGTGAGTACTTTATCAGCTGATTGCCAGGAAATCAGGATACTGGAGTCCTAACGGTGAGCTGCACAGTTGTCTGCTTCATGCGGAGTGTGTACATATACTTCGTCGTCCCTTGTCTCCGGAAGGGCAGAAGTGACTTGAACAACTACCTTTTGCGATAGTTCATGCATCATCATGCAGTAGACTTGAGTGTGCCAGGGTGTTGCCCGAAGTTCCTTGCAGCAGGCAAATCTGCTACTGCTCAGGGTGCTCATCGCCTTGGCTCAGCTGAGAAGTGTCATGATTACTATCAGATTCAAAACATTAAAAGAAATGTTCCTCCAAAAACTATCATCCTACCCTCTAATATCAAGTATGAGCACAATACACATAAGCGTCCAGCCGTTGCGAAGAGGAGCAGGGCAGTAGCAAATTGCACTGTACTATGCGGCAGCTTCTCCTGCGAGGAAGCCCCACCTGTAAGCATATCCAAGCCCACTTGTGATTCATGGATTTGCACTGTAAACACTTGTTAAACAATTCCCTGGGCAAGAGTGTCCAGTTTGCCAACGTCTGGCTAACCATGCTTCAGCAAGGCCGGCACGTAGAGGGATGAAGGAACGTTTCACTGGATCCGTCGCTATGTTTCTACTCTACTGCGAAGCATTTACCACTGGGCATCGAGCCATTGGCAACGCCCTAACACTTCGCATTAACTAGAATGCTTGCAGGCGCATAGGAATGGAAACGCAAAGTCACTTGCAGAAGCGCAAAAAGGTCTGAGACTGGCGCTATGGCACCTACATCAAGGCCTTCTATAACTTCAGTCAAGCAAGAAAAGTTACAAGACTTGCCTGGGAATCGGAGAGTGCAGTGAGGAAATGAAACCAGTTCATCGTTACATCTACCACACCAGATTCGTTTAATTTAGCTGCCGGCTTTTTTTTCGAAACCTTCATCGTATCGGAAGGTTCAGACGCACTCATGTTAATAGGAGCCGACAATTGATGAAGCCAGGCCAATACAGCAAAAATGAGCTCCCCCAGAAGTACGAATGCCTCAGTTTTCCTCCCCTCCCCCTGCAGCTTCGTGTTGCCTCTGTGGGGAGCTGAAAGTCATCAGTGCAGCTGGTGTCTTTGCTCATCTAGGGATTCGAACCCTGCTCTAATCGTCTACCATACAAAGACATGCATAAGATCTCCAGCTTGTCTAGGTATGGCGCCATCTACAGATTTGCGTGCCGATGCTGAGTTTCTGCTCTAGATAAGCAGAAAATCGGTGGCGGTTCGTTGTTTGCCATTCCGGGAGACTTGGGCACAGCGTCGTCAATGCCATATGTGAAGTTTTGCCAATGGGCCTAAACTTGCTCTGTCTGAGAACCATTACGGTGGGAACTACAGCACCATACGGGAGCAAACGCCTACCCAGTCTCTCAAACGCTCGAAATCTAAAGCCTAGAGACAGCTCTTGACCCTTGTGAGTTGAGAGCACCATCAGATCACCAGTTACGCTCCCTCAGCATAAAAGAAGTCGTCCCGTGCCAGCAGGTGTAGGGGATTACGGGGTTTTATCCTTCCAATGGCATAGTCATATCGTGTCTATAGCTAACTGGACAAGATAAATATAAGCTAGAGAACGCTACAACAACCCAAGTAGAATATCCTCCAGGGCACGCGAAAATCCTCAAACCGTTCATTTCTGCTTGCACTCCGTGGTTACTACTCACAAGAAATGCGTGTGAAGTCATATTTGGGATTAAAATAAGATATGCGCACTTTTTTGCAAAGCCCAGTGTTGCTGTCAGCCCCTTATTTTTCGTTGCCTCATGGGGTACAGTTGCCGACATCACGGATTCCCGTTCTCATCGGGAGACCTGGGTGACTCCCGTTATTCAAAACTGGCTGCTTCATCAATTCGAAAGCAGATAAGATGGTTATGGGATACTCAAGTACAAATAAATCACAGAATGCCATCCAGACCCTGAAAACCTGAATTTCAAAGGATGGTGGCATGCAACGTAAGGCGACGCGACGTAAGATTGCCATCTGCACTACCGTCGAAGCTCCATTGAAAGAGGGTTCCTTTTAAAAATACTATATCTTGCGTCCTGTGTTCTGCCTTTCTTTCCAGTTTACCTTACCTAACCGTGCTGTGCTTTTTTGACCTTCCATTATTACCACAGCCTACCCCCTACACCGTTGCTGCAGTCCGTCGGATATTTCATCAACTGCCTTAACCAGTTAGACTCCATCTCATCCAGGAAATCATACGGCAACTTCAGGCAATCAATAATCCATCATTAAAACCCTCTGATGGTAGGTGGGGTGGAAGTAAGGTGTTTTCTCAGCCAAAAAGCACGCCCTGCTGTTGCAGCCTACTTGCCCTATGGCCTGCATTTTTACTATTTAAAGTTGAGGCCAAATGCCCGAGCGGCCTAATATTCTCCAGGAGAACTCACGCCCCTGTGCTTCGCCGGCGTTTGCCATTTCGGAGCTACCAGCGGCGGGACCGACCTCTCCTCGATTGGGGCACTTGAGGGCCAGAGGCTGCCGCTCCTCCTCGTGTCTGATTACCCTCCTAGCAGCTTTCGCCTCAGTTGCAGCAGTTGCTGTTCTCATTTCTCTCTGTTCGCGTGCTTTCGAGAAGCGGGCACTCCACGGCCTTCGAACCCGCCGGCTGTCTAACTCAGCAGGACATGATACATCCATTGTCCATTGCAGTGACACAGAGGAGGAAGACGATGAGAAGGAATACCAAAGTCTTCACCTTCTCAACTTTTCTCCTAGCACAGACTTGGAGTTGCCTCTAAAGAAGAAATTGTTGGCAAGAGTGGCTGCAACCGGGCCCAGTTATAATGGAAGTAGGACACAGCAACTAGAGCAGCAAGAGTATCTGCAAGGGCGCACAGCTCCGCTTGATCTGTCCACACGGACTGGGGAAGTTGGACCCTGGCCATTTGCGGCTGACAGGCCGGTATCTTCAACAGGAGACCAGTTGCTAGGAGACCTCGATGTTCCCGCAGCACTGTCAAATATCCCTCCTCACCAGCAGGCTGCTGGGCACTGGGCTTCATATAGAGCGCATGGCAAGCCTTTGGACAGCCTGGGGCTGCGAAGATGGATGAGTCATAGGTGGATTCATTTGCAGGGGGAAGAGCGGCGTCAACAGCAATTGCAGCTCCACCTCCAGCGCCAGCACGATCTGAATGAGCTGTATCAGCAGCAACGTCTCTTGCACTGGCAGCCACTGCTCTGGCAGCAGCAAGAACAGCAGATGCTACAATCGCAGGGGCAGTATTTCATGCACCACCTAGGGCAACGGCAACACCATGGTGAATACACTGCGCCTCCGTGTCATTGGCACCCAACTCAAGTGGGTCAAAGAACGGAGGAGCTTGGCCGATCTCTACCACAGAATCTCAGCCCACTGCCCTCACCCCAACTGCAAACGACGACGCAGCGTGGTTCACCCTGGGGACTAATGAATATCCGCGCTCCCAAGCATGCAACTACAAATTTTGCTTCAGGTGCAAGGCGCAAGTCCCCCGCCAAGCTGCGGAAACTGCAACAGCAGATATGGCAGATGCAGCTGCAAATGAGGCAGATGCAGCGGCAGATAGTTTGGCTACAGCGGAGGTTGCAGAGGAGGTTGCGACCAGGGCAACCGCAGAAGTCCCACGGCCAGCTGCGGCATTTGCCTCAGCAACGGCGGCAGCAGTCTCGACGAGAGACTGCTGCCGCCGTTGCTCAACGAGAGCGGCCTCAACTTTTGCATGGACGGCATCAACAACACATGAAGGAATATCAGAAAGAGCAGAGGCTGTTGCAACAACAGGAGCAGCAGGAGGTAAGTAAAGACCACCAGCAGCAGGCAGAGCAAGTTGGGGAACAAGCGGCACGACGTCGGAAGAGTGAACAGCAAAACGATCAAGAGGTACTGGAGGAGGAGCGGCGGCAGCTGTTGGAACCAACAGACTCGCGTGCGAGGTATCTATCGGAAGATGCGTGGATTTCTTCAGGCTCCTCAATGCCTGAGTCGCCTCAGTCCAGTACCACTCAAGAGGCGTTGCGGTCGTATGCTGTTGATACTGCAGCAGGAACCTGGAAGCCGGGATTTTCGCGGGTGCATGCGGTTCTAGGAGTTCCAAGGCATGATGCATCTACTGAGATTACTTCAGTGGCTTCAGGGGATGAAGCTGTCGCAACTGGTGCTGCCGGGGCTGTAACAGCAAACACGGCACCGACGACCGAAGTTCTTTACGCCAGCGCATCCTCCATTGCATCGGCCATAAGCGGAGATGGCTTGAGCTTCAATGTTTCGATTGCTTCTAGACCGCGAGATAATGACAGTACCCAAGCTGCAGGTGCAGCAGAAGCTGAAGCAGCAGCAGGTTCCACCACGCCCACATATGTCTCGAGTCTGGAAGTCACAGAGCTGGCAAGTGTACCGGCAAGTAGTCGTCCAGCTAGAATAGAACACCCGTTCGTGCGTCTGCCAAAGATGTTGGACAATGCAGCTGCGCCGTTGGTTGACTTGGGACGCGCTGTGGCCACTCGGCCCGGCAGGCGGGACGTCGGGCGGCTGCTGCAGGCTGCCCATGATCTGCTTGTGTTGCCATATTTAGGGGGCCGTCACTTGAACGATTTGGTCCATGTAGTGGAAGAGTTGATAGAGAACGCGGTGAACCATCAGCGCCAGGACGTTTCACGACTAAAGACGAGCCGAGCAGTAGAGCGGCTTGCGACGCGCTTCCTACTTATGGATGCTGTGGTCTCCGCCTTCCTGGTTCTCGGGCAGCAAGTAAACTCTGGTCATTGGAAGATACTAACGGAGGCCATTAGCCACGCCAGTCCCCCCGTGTCAAAATTTGGACTAAGAGTAGGGCGACAGTCTTTCAACTCATATCTGTGTCAGAAACTCAGCAAGGCAATAGTAACACTTAAGACGGGAGCGAGGCCGCACCCGGTGGACTTACTGGATATAAAGAGGATGCTCTTCTGCTCGCCCTTATCTCCCCAGCGTTTTAAAACACCAGAGTTCGACAGTTGGAGGAAGGATGACGGTCGTTTTGGTGGGCAGTAACTTCGCTCGCCGGAAAAACGGATTTTTCGTTCATTTTAGTGGGAGAAGGTGAAAACTGAGTAGTTGGCACTTCAACTGAGAGAAACACTGTTATTACTAAGCACGCCTCTCATTATTATCCACCAGCTGCTATTACCGTAACGGTACCTAATCTATTTGAGGGGCCAACGGACACAATTATTGGCAGTTGGGGCAGAAGATACTTTATGTACCTTATTAGAATACATACATTGAAGTGCTCTACTGTATCGGTCCTAGCTCTGTGTAAGGAACACTCAACGGAGTAAAAGCGTGAGCAAACATTGTAAAGTAAACGAAACTGGACGGAAGAGACAAGGAGGCCTAGATTGCCTTCGGCCCTCTGCATCGGTAATGGGCCGGACTTCAGGCGTTCCTGGCCTTCAGGCATTTGAATAAGAAGGCTCCGTGGTTCAACGCACGGGATACAATGGAATTGCCAGTTTGCTTTTGCATATGCCTTCTTCCATGCATGTGGGTCTGCAGGTATTGGGGCTTCATCGAAGTGTTCATGCTGCGGGAGTGGCGTGCGCTTTAGTGGCAGGTGTTTCGCAATACAGTATTGAGAAGAACAAGGGGGTCAGTGGAACGGTGCCATCATGCATTTGCAAGCTGCTGGTACACCTACTTGCACATTCAGTCCGGTTGGCCACTGTGGCACAAACCAGTGTTCTGATCAACAGTGTTAATTCGTGCATGGAAAAGACGATTTACCGCTGCTTCATTTGGGGTTGTTTTCCTCATTATCTCATTATTTGCAGCAATGAGTGTTGCAAAACCCCCACCAGAGGCCTGTTAACTGTACGGGAGGTAAGTTACTCCGGGGGGGGGAAGGGGTGGAATCCATATCTGGAGTCTTTTTATCATAGAGAGTCTCACGAAGGCCATCTTCTAAGAGCGAGGACTGTCGCTAGAGGAGTTGCCTGTCTTGAGTTTGCAGCACTCTCCTACGTAACTAATGTTGCGAGGCAACTTCAAGGGCAAGCATGCTGGAGAGCCCTTTTGCAGCACGCGACATTCCCGGTTGACAGCGGCTACTGGCATTCATTTAGCAACCTACTCTAAAGCAAATATGCATGCACCAACTCCAGACAGGAAGTGCTTTAGGTATTGCTGACACTAGCCAGTTGTGACTTCATTCGTTGGTTTCTACACGACCGACATTTCTGAAATTGCGAAGATTGAATGTTGCAGCTCCAGGAAACATTCAAATCAATTGCTTGGTTGAACGATGACTCGACGTATAATTTCTTTGGATTTGCAAATAGCTCAACTCCACACTACCGATCATGAAAGGTAAGGATGCTGCATGAACACATATTGCCTGGCCTGTTAGAGTTAAAGGGTTCCCGCGGCGATTTCCCCTGCGCCTACTTACACATTCAGGGACACAGTACATAAGCAGATTATGTTGCTAAGGTTCAGGTCTATACATGTGGATGACACAGAGAAGGTACACTAAAAGCCACATTGTCTTAACTTCGCACAGCATTAGGACACGGAAGCAATCTGAGGGCGCGCGGTAGCTTATGCAGAAGACGTAGAGCGGCAAGTATAGAGCTAGCTACAACGGGGAAGGCGTTCATATATATTCTTTGTGGTATCCATGCTTTATTTGCACGCATACCTGCACCCAACCTCAAATAATCGGGCGCCTCATGAGTCAGCGAGTTGGTCAACACAAAAGTGCAGACGGAAGGACCGTAAAGCTTTCCCACTTCTTGCCAAAGTAGCCACGAATGAACACTTGTCTGCTTTGAGGAAATGTATGCTTAACACACAACGCCTCTGGTAAATAATGATTTGTAGCGCGGGCCCTGAATCGAACCCGAAGACCTACGTGGACACGCAACGGAACCAAATTATTTGAGGTATGAGTTCGTATATGCAACTAAATACATTCCCCAGCCTCCAACCGTCTGAGAAGAGCGGCTAGAGCGTTTGGAGCTGCAGGAGAGGACGCATCCTCCGATGAGTTGCAACAAATCTTGCTTCACCTCCAGCAGGACACCCCGCCCATAAACAAGCACCAACAAGGCTTCTTCGATGCATGCATTGACACATTAAGGAGTTATTGAGAATAGCTGCTTGCATACCGTTTGTGCACTGTGGCCGGGTGGGCTCACCTGCCCACTTACGCAAGCATGCCAACATCGCACAGACAATGCCTCACCTACGTCGAAAGGGCGCTTGATATTCCTCAAACACAACATTTACTTCCCAGGCATATTGCTGCCAATTACAACCAAAAATAAGAATATAGCAGTGCATGGAAAGTATAGCGTAGTTACCGCTGCCAATGAACTTGAATACAGCTATATAGATATGTGTCACTGAGCTATTGCCCATGCGGAGATTGGATTGGTGGAAATTCCGCCAGTTTCCGTCCTCAACGAATGGAAATAACGAACGTTATTTGATTTTTCATTTCGGAATTTTTTGGTGGAAAAGGTGTTTTCGGTTCCGTCAGTAAGCAACAGGTCTCATTAAGACCCACAGTACCGAGCACAATAGTTATGGCATGCAGGGGACGGCGACGGGAGAACATCACAACGCTCGGCGGAACCCAATCGCAGTACAGTTCCGCTTGCATACTACTTGATTTACATTTTATACCAGTATTTATGTTGACGGTTTCTCCTTTCCGATCCTTCATTGTCTCTGGGGAACCGCTTACCATTTCACACAGTGCCGGCTGGCTGCCTTGCTCCGTTGGAAATTTCCAAACGTTGCTTTTCTCCGGAGCCATTTTCTTTCAAAAGAATGCCATTGTCTCCATCTTAAATTTTTAAAGCCGCTCCCAAATGCCAGACCTGCCCAATATCTTTGAGATCCGTGTAAATCAAGGCGGTCCGTCAGCTTCTGCCTCTTCAGAGCCGCCAACGGTGGGATCGGGCCTCGCTCCACCGGGAAACTCGAGCCCCAGAGCCTTCCGTTCCCCTCCTCCGGGCGTTGTTTTTGCAACTATAGCCTCTGTCGTAGCAGTTGTAGTTCTAGTTTTTTTGTGTTCGCGCGTCTACCAGCGGAGTGCACTTCACGGCCGTCGAAGCCGCAAGCTGGCCAGCTCGAAGGACGATGATGCACATGTTGACACTTGCGGCGATTCTGGTGACGATGAGAAGGAACGGCAGCAGGAAATCCCGCAGTCTCCTAGATCCCCTGGTTTGGAAGCGTTGAATCTTCCCCTTAAAAAGAGGCTGTTGTTACGAGTGGCTGAAACTGGTACTGGTGGCAGTGGACTTAATCCCCGGCAGCAGAGGCAGCAGCTGCTTCTCCATGAGCAAGGTGGCGCTGCACCTGGCTTTTCTCCACCGCGAGTGGTTACAAGGCAGGAAGAGCTTGAAAGTTTAGGACATGCTGTTCCCAGTGCACTGTCTTCAGCGCAACAGGGGGTTCCAGAGGGCAGTATGTTATTACAATTACTGAGTAACCCTACAGACCAGCGTGCTGCTGGAAATCGTGGTTCACGTGCAAGGGAAGCAGGTTCTGTGGATGAGCAGAAGCTGCAGACCCGCCTGCAGGGGGAACAGGGGAGGGGATGCTGGCAATCTCGGCAGCAGCAACTGCAGGAACGGAAGCGAAAGCAACGGCAGGAGCTGGAGCTACTGGAGGAAGAACCAAAGAAGCGGGAGAGGACGCTGCAGCCTGCAGAGCTCCTCGGGGCGGAAATCGAGGAGGATTCATGGATTGCACCGGAATCTCCAAGCACTGAGACGTCACAGCGTGGTTCCTCTCAACAGACGTTGCAGTCATCTACTACGCCAGCATCAACAAGCCTCTCGACGCCCTCGCACTTTAGAGAGAATGTAGTTCCGGGGTCTTCAGTAATTTTTTTCGCAGCACCTCATGCAGATACCACTGTGGTGTCGTCAAGCGATGAAGCTGCAGCGGCTCCCGCTGCAGGGGCTGCAGCTGCAAGCACAGGGGCCGCGGTTGAGCGGCCTTTCCCGTCCTCTGCTGCATGGACACCATCTGGTGGAGGCATGAGCTTGGAGATGCCGGTGACTGCTAGTAAAATGGTTGGTGGCAGAATCGTCGATGAAGGAACAGCAGCAGTCGAAGAAGCAGCAGGTTCCGCAAGAGGCACATCTTTATCACATCCGAACCTCATACAGCAGCTAGGAGCGCCAGGTGATGCTTTTCCATCCGCAAGAGACCACCCGTTGGTGCGCTTGCCAAAGCCAGTTGTGTCTAAGACTCCTCATGGGATCGCGATCAACTTCCAGCGCGCCTTGAGCAACCGGTCCACCATGCGCGAAGTAGTACCTCTGCTACTGAGGGCTCACAAGCTGCTGTCGCGGGAGTTTCTGTATGCTGGCCACATGGTAGATTTGGCGCTTGCCGCCGAAGCTCTCATAGAGTACGGGATGCAATATCAATCACAAAGTCTGGCATCGTTCCAGTTGTTTTACACACTTGAGAAGCTGGCTATTCGTTTCGTTGTTCTGGATTGTGTAGTCTCCACCCTTGTAGTCCTTGACCAAACTCCAGACCCTCGTCTGTGGAAACGCTTCGCAGATGCCATTAAAGATGACGCAACACTAATATCCAGTGACGTGGAAATGCCCTTAGGTCGACCGAATGTGAATGTGGGTCGGGCTCAGCAGCTCATCCGTGCAATTCAAGTATTCAAGACGGGAAGGCGGCCGGATCCGGAAGAACTACTGCAGATAAAGAAGTGGCTCTTCTGTTCGCCGACCTCTCCTAGGCGTTTTAGAAAGAAAGAGTTTGATCCATGGAGGAAGGGTTGTCTGCCTCCAACGGATAAGCAGTAGCTTTGTTCGGCAAATACGCACACTGCGCGAGGAGTTTGGTGTCCGAGGGAGAACAGAGGCAAATCCGTATTGTAGGCGAGAAGATTTCACTGATGCTGAGTGCTCTCCTCGTCGTCAGCCATAAGGCTGCTATTACCGTGAAGGCTTCCAACCCGTTAGACGGCTGGCAGAATGCAGTTATTAACAGTATCCGCAGAAGATGCTAAACAAGAAGCAGAATTCCGAAACACTCTTTCGAAACCGATATGCTTCGGCTAGAATATGTACGGAGCAAACCAGGTAATGCCTTGCTGAACCTGACTTCGGTCAGTAGTGGCAAAGGGACTCTTGTCACCTTCTCTAAAGCGGCCTCAATTTCGTAGGTATGGCTCCCGATTTAAGGCTTTTTTTTTCCGCTTTGAGGGATTTGAATGAAGCGATTCGCGTTGTCAGTGATGTTGCAGCAGAGCCGCTGCCAGGGTGTAGCATGCTCTGTTTTGATTTTATAGGCGTATCGTTACTTATGCTCAGGCTGAGCGTGGTGGTCCATGCATGTGTTTGACAACTGTCTACAGTGTTAACGAATGCAATAGAATGGGCAGAGTTGTGCTTACACATGAGCCTGTGTCGAAGTATTAGTAGCAGCAACGCCCGATACAGCCTGTGATGTGCTGTATCCCCGTTGCGCCAATTGCATGTCCTTGGGCGGTTCTTTTCAGGGCGTTTGGGGACAGGTTTTCTGGTTCCAACTTTTTTATGGGGTCTTCTTCCCTATGTCTCTACTGCAGCTCGTGACAATGTGCAGCTAAGAACGAGTCTGCCAGCTACCACAACACACCGCATGGTGTGTTGTGTTAGCTGCGAGGAGTGCATCTAGCCTCCGCATGAGGACGGTCTGGCGCATAGCTGTGCTTTGTACCGAGGTCACGTGGGAATGCCTTCTGTGCATCTCTCCCAATATTTTTGCCAAAGCTTCTGTCCCGTCGCACAATGGCGATTGACCAGTAAATGCCCTCCAGTTGGGAAGTGGCCAATGGCTGGGCGGTTTGTACCGTCAAACGAAAGTCAACGCTTGCACACCATCCAGTGGGAAGTATTTTTTCACGAAAGCAACTTCACGAAGAATATTCTAGCCTTTGCTGTCATTCTAGATGTAAAGAATCCGGGTATGCGGGTACAGTGGATTGGCGTCTTGTGTTTTTTTTTTTTTCGAGTTGAATTTTCGTATCTAAAACGCACCTGAACAGTTACAGCGAGTATTGGCATCTTCATTTGTAATGGCTGAGGCGCGGCAATTACCGCTTTGGCTCTGTAGGGGAACAAAAAGACACAACCGGACAATTCATCCTGAGAAGCCCTGTGATGTACGCCACTCCCAGGTGGGCACACGTACAGGCTGTTGTGGGAAGTGACGATACGTCGCTCCACTTATATGTATCAGACCATCCTGAACAGCTATCACACGATAGATTTCGAGCTCCTGCGCCAATGCTTCACAGGAGGGCTGTTGAGGACAAACGGATTACCGGCTATGGCAATTGAATGGGACTGGAGAGTAGAGGTGTGGAGCTTTCCGATATGATGAAGCAGCTACAAGGACACCGCCGGGCTGCTTCCACCGCTAGAAATGAACAGAAAAATAACGGGTTTCGGGATATTCTTGACACAGAGCGGCAGGGTCCTGGTGTTGCGAATGCCAGTAACGCTCACGGTGGCTGGCATATCCTCATGTTTACTCCAGTTGTGGCTGCTCAGCACGACGTTGCTGAGCCAGTGTGGGTAAAGACCGGGGGCATTCCGCTGGTTTGCTATATTGCTGGGCCCAGTTGGGACAACCAACGTAGGTCAATCAGCAAGTTGAGTGTTAGTCGGCGCTGCGGGGCAACGCATAGCCCGACGGATGACAAGTAAAACGCCCTACTCACTGCATAGCGAACGTTTCGGAATTTCGGGACTTGTGATCGGTTCTGTTGGTGTTCCCTAACGATTGAATGTCCTCTATCTTCGCGGATGTGATACCGAGCCCGCTGCAGAGACATGAAACCCCAAGATGCCAATTTTTTGTGTAGCGAACTAACATTCTGTGCTTTTGCGACCCCATGCTTCGCTTTTTGCGTCTACACAACATGTCTGAGGTACTGTGGGCACTTCTATAGACAGATTCGTGCCGAACACCAGCACGCCGCCGATGTACATAACCACCCATCTCCCGCTTACAGGCCCCACGGTATCGTGATTAGCACCGTGATTTGCCTGTTGCTGCAGCCGACCAGGCGAGTTCGAGAACCCAAAGGGCAAAGATGGGTCCTCTAACTTGGGAGTGTGGATTGGAAACGCAGTTTTGCGCCTGTAAATGAGATGAAGTCTGTAAGAACACATCAGGAACGTCAAATGAAGGACTTGCTGCTGAAACCCACAGGCTGTAGAGCTGTTCGCCCAAATGGATCACCTGCTTTTTCTGGTTCATCGTGATAATATTAAGGGTTTTGAAGTTGACTCACCTACAGAGCCTGCCACTATTGTCGTCCGCTAAAGTCCTACTGTGCTTGCACGCATTAGCTGATGGTTGGATATTGCCCTTCCTTAGCAGTTCGTCGGGTTGACACTTAAATTCCTCTGCAGGACCTTGGCGCCGCCCGTACCTGGGAACAAACCTTAGCTGCACCAAGTATGAGTTCGAAGTCGTGCATTGAGTATCCACCTAATAGCCGGCCAGCTCGTAGCTTACTGTTATTTAATACACGTGAGAAGTCTTCCTTCGATGGTTCCTGCCCACGCTGTTTCTCGGGACTCCACTGGATCAATTTCCACAAAGCAGCAGTTTTCGCATAGCTTAACGACGGATTGCATGCAGCCCTCTGCCGTATTGTCTTATCACTGCTTCTTAGGTCCTGTCTCCTTGGGGCATTGCTTCCACTCCTCTAACCACAGATGATGCAAGTGCCTTGTTAATCGCTGAGCGGTTCGCTTTTTCCTCGCTCCTCCGTACATGCACCTCAACTGTTGCATCAGTCGGGCGCACCTGCATCTTCCATTCAGTCACCGCAGCATGTCTAGGAATGTGTGAGGTGAAGCTGTCCAACGTAAACTTACAGAAGCATGGCAGTTTAACCTGTTTCCTAACAAATATCACAAGTTGCAACCATAGTCTTGCCAGTTTGTCTGTCTTGTCTACCAACCGCGAAGTGTAGCCGGAGAGCCCTCGGCAATGAAGGGACCGCATATGTGGCCTGCATGCAGGTATTAGAACCATTTAGCAATCTGCGCCGAATAGCGCTATCAACGTCTGTCAAATACTATTACAATAAGCACTGACGTACCTCCAGGACGGTCTCCGGATGCCCTTACCCTCTCCCCGGCCCCAAAACAGCTCCGCATGTTTCGTGGAAGCCCAAGCGTTGCAGGGTTGGCCTGGTGTGCTAATCCAAGGTGTTCTTATCCAGATTCCTCGCCTTTTCCACGTGCCGATAATTACATGACGTTCTTTATTGCGAAAGGAGCAGGTGCGTCTCTCGATACGTACGCTAAGGGCAGCTGTCGGCGTCCGTGTTTCGCCGTTCTCTGGGTGGGGTTGGTACTCCCAGACTCAACAACGAACTCAATATATCCGTTTTCTGTTCTCCAAATACGGATACCTCCATATGTAATGCTCTAGGGACGGCTTCCATTGTTTAGGCTTCCTCAACTCTGTCACAGCCCGTCCCTTTGCGGCCCTGGGATTAAACCCGCTTCGCAGGTCGTTCCGGGAAGTTTCCATAGTCCGGGTGCTACCTGTGACCTTCCCTACTTTGGTACACCCACAATTGTCGTGCCTCCACAAATCACGCAGATGCCAGTAGCAATTGTAATTCCCCCCGGAGACAGCATGAACATCAAGGCAAAACACTCCACTGCCCCTGCATCGCTATGAAGCGTCATTTATGGATGGTTGGCAACAAGGCGCACTCATTGTAGTGTGTCTCAGCGCCCACTACGTACAGTCAGATGTTCTCCTTTACAAAGGGCTTTCCGGTAAATAACGCAGTAGCTCTCTAAATTAACATCACTATATCCTAAGGGAGAATAAAAGATCCGTCTCGCCCCGACCAGTATGGATCATTATCTCGTCTACGAAGTTAGCCCCAACACCCTGATAGGCACTGCACAATCGTACTCGACTTGCCGTAGTTCTTGCATAAGAGATCTGCTTCAGAATTGTGTGCTATTGCCACCGGCTAGTTCTCCAGAGGCTCAATAGGAGACACACTCTAGTGCTCGAGGAGTACCCCCATTCTTCATCAATATCGTTAGCTGTAATTCTTTTGGTGCATGGGATATAGAAAGCGAGATTTACTCAATTTGATGGCGTTCCAGTGGTTGGTCGCCTCAACATCAATGGGAACGCCCCAATCCACTGTTGTGCACGGGAAGTAACCCGCGAAGGTCTGGAAAACAGCTTGGTAGCGTTCGAACAGAACTCATTTTGTGTATATATATCTTTAAGCACCTCCAAAGCTTCTCAGAGCTATGCAACAAGGGTGGGGCTCGTTGCTCGAACCTGCATCTTATGAAGCGTGCGACGCTACCCAGTGTACCGCAGGCCCTGTGTCATATCCGATGATAATTGTGGTCTTCATTGAAGGCATGTTAAGCGGCTGACCTTCACAAGTGCAACTAAACACCTCTTCCAGCTTCTTTGGGTCCTGAGATCAGCGGCTTAAGGGCCTAAAGCTGCGGGAGTGGGGGCGGCCTGCCGTGAGTTGCAACGTACCTTGCTGCACCACAAGACAGGAGACCTACCCTCATACGCATACAAACCAGCCTTATTGGCTGTCTGTACGGACGCTGTAAATAGTTTTTTGGAACTTCTGATTGTGTACCATTTGCCTACTATGGCCGGGTAAGGGTTTGTCTTTCAGCATCAGGCAGACTGGCTAGCATTGGACAGAATGGATGCGCGGAGAATAGGCGAGCTGCTTGTTCTTTTGGAAATCTTACTCTAACTTCCTTCCCTCTATTTCAGCTCATGATTTCTATTCTCTAAGCTCGCGGATTCGTCGCATAACAGTTTTATGTTTCCGAGCAACTGCCTGTTTGCCCCTACACGATGGTGCCAGTTTTCATTCTCAAGCAGGCGACAAAAATGACATTCAGTAAATGGAATTAATAACATTGCCATTTACAAACTCGAGGCAGCTCTTGCGGGTCGGTCACCTAATAGTAAACCCTACCCACGTACCAAGGCGAAACGTTTCAGCGACTGCAGCCCGACTTGTGTCTCACGACATGCAGGGAACGGCGTTGGAAGAAAGGCATCCCCACAACCTTTGAAGATTCATTGTATGAAATTCTACCTAAAGTGCACTTGTTCTCCTTTATATACAACGTTTTTGCAACGATACATCATTGCTCAATTGGCTTGTTTGCCCCCTGAGCCTGCATCTGATTTCATACCCTCCAGCGCTTCCGTTATCCGTTGCAAGGATTTCGTACATTGATTTGCTGTAAGTGGGGCTCATTTTCGTTCATGACGACTTTTTAATGAGTACTATAGACTTTCTTAAACTTTAAATATTCATTGTTGGAGCATCGCATCTGTTCCAGTGGTAGAAGTAAGCGGTGTACTATGAGCCAAAGCGGATGCCACCGCTTGCTCCAGCCTGGTTAGCGAATGGCTTCAACTCCAACTCTTTACAGGTGATGCCAAATGGCCGAGTTACATAGTATTTTTCAAGAAAATGCAAGCCCAAGCGCTGCTTCAGCATTCACGTATTCACAATCGCCCACAGTGGGATCCACATTTGCTCGATCCGGGAAGTTGAGAGCGAAAGCTTGCAGTTCTTCATCGCGCCTTCTTCTTCTCCTGGCAACCATAGCCTCTGTCTCAGCTGTTGCAGCGCTTGTCCTTTTCTGTTCGCGTGTTTCACAGAGACATGCTTTTCGGGAACTTCGGAGCCGAAGGCTGTCTCACGCAGATGGCAAGGATACACCATTTAAAATTTGCCATGGCTCTACTGACGAAGAGGACCAGCTGGAACAAGAGGATCCGCATTTTCCTAATTCTCCTGCTGGCCGGGAGAGGCAGCTGCCCCTCAAGAAGAGGATGTTGGCACGGGCTTTTGAAACTGGTATCAGTGCTGAGGACCGTAATCCCCAGCAACAAGAACAGCAACAGCGTCTCAGTGAACCTGCTGTAGGGCACGTAGGTTTTGCACCAACGTATACTGCTTCAAGTAGGGAGCAGCTTCACCTTTCGTCTCTCTCCGTTCCCGGCACGGTGCCATCAACTGTGGTGCAGAACCCTCCAGAGGTCGGTGCAACGACAGAAGTGCTGAATGCCTCCCTTCTTCAGCATCGTACTGGGAATGTGGATTTAGGTGAACTACAAGGACGCTCCTTGTATGGGTGGAAACTGCAGCATCCGCGGCCAAGTGCCCAGGTGCGGTGGCAGCCGTATTCGCTGCAGAACCCGCGGCAACAGCAAAAGCAGCAGTCACAACTCCATGAACAGGATGAGGGAAATGAGCTGTATATGCAGGACTATCACATGCGTTGGCAATACCTTCCTTGGCAGCAGCAACACATGCAGCGGTCTTTGGTTGAACAACACCAGCAATCGCAGGTAGGCGAGTATCCGTCGTTACTTCAGCAGAGAGAGTATCAGTTTCTGCTTCAGCAACGAACACAATACGAGACTTATAAGCAGCAGCAGCATATATACTTGCAAGACATGCAATGGCAGCAGCAGCCACAGCAGCAGTCTTTGATTCAACGGGAAACCCAGCTTCAGCCTTTTTTGCAACATCCGGAGGGGCATCAGCCTTTGCATCAGCAGCGACAGCATGAGTATTCGCTCCAACAGCAGGAGCAGCGGCACTCCACAAAGTCACAGGAGCAGACGCTGCTACAAACGAATGAACTCCAACAGGTACTCCAGGACCACAAGATGCAGCAGGCAGTGCAACAGGAGGATCAGCAGAGGAAGCCGCATGATGAGCACGAACTACCACGTGAGAAAACGACAAGCAAGTGGGAACAGCAAGGGAAGCTCCAGCCACCGGTCCTACAGGATGAGCCTTCACAGTACCACCTTCAACCCGTAGAAGCGCTTATGGGGTCTTTGACGGAAGATGAATGGATTGCCCAGGACTTTCCAAGGCCCGAGCCTCCTCAGCCCAGCACATCTCAGCAGGAATTTGAGTCATCTACGGCTGCGGGAGCAGGAGACCCCACGCTGTCAGGGGTCAAGCAGGTATTTCATGGACCTCCGCTAGCTCACACTGGAGCGTCGCGTGCACATGCTGCAGCTGTGGCTTCAAGGGATGAAGCGAATGTGGCTCCTGCATCGGCGGCTGCAGCAGCAAGCACGGGGTCCGGGTTTGAATGGTCTGGCGCTTTCCCGCATTCTACTGCATGGACGACAGCTGGAGGAGGCAGCACTGGGGACGGGAAAATGATTTCATCATCGCTAACTGACAGGAATCGTACAGATGCAGCAACAGCGGCAGGTGCTGGTATGGCAGCTGGAGGTGCAGCAGGGGAAAGCACAACCATTCCCCCATATGCACCGCTCCGGGCAATCACTATGCTGCTAGACATGCCTCGTACTGTCGGTGGCCTGCTACAACACCCGTTTGTGCGTCTTCCGAAGGTGTTGGTGACGAGGTCTCTGCCTTTCATTAAAATTGACTTCGAGCGCGCCATCTACAGTTCGCGAGGCCCATGGAGCGCCTTGACAGCGCTGCAGAGGGCGCAAGAATTCCTGTCGCAGGAAGTTTTAGATGAAACTCAGCTGGTGGACCTAGCACAAGTGGCAGGAGATCTAGTGAGCAATGCAATTCACTATCAACGTCAAAACGTAGCAAAACATCAGACCTACCGTGCAGTTGTGCGTCTGGGAACCCGTTTCTTGTTGCTGGACGCCGTTGTCTCCACCTTGATCGTCCTGGATCAGACTCCAGACCCTTTTCATTGGAGGGAGTTCACCGAGTCCATTGGGCACGCCGCCCCGCAGCCCATCATAACGGCAAACTATCCCCCACGAGCGGGTTTCACCTTATATCTGGCTCAGGAGCTCAGTAGGGGAATGCGAATACTGAAGAGGGGAACGAGGCCACTTCCATATGACCTAGTGAAGATCAAACGGATGTTGTTCTGTTCCTATTTATCTCCTGCGCGTTTCAGAGACCCGGAGTTCGATCCCTGGAGGTTGGAAGACAGAGCACCCCGCGATTGGTCGTAGCTTCTTTGGTCGAAGAGGGGTTTTCTATTCATTTCAGTGCAAGAGAAAGACAACTAAGGGGAAAATAATCTGTTTTCGGCCAAGAACAGTCTATTTGTGCTGGACGCGCGTATCTTCATCTTCTGTCGTGTGATACTACTACGGCGATGCTTTTGAGACCAGCTGACAAGCCTCGGGAAACAATTTGGCCATGTCAGCCGACATGTGCTAGAATATATATTAAATTCGAAAGGAGAAACGCTAAATTTGGGGTATTTCTGATGGAGTATCAACGGGGGTCGCAGGTGGTGCAGGCAGCTAGAATGATACATACGAAACCAATTATGAGATATGACGTAACTGCGATTGCCTTTTGTTCTATTGTCGTATGATATGTGGGAATCTGACTAGATCAGAGTAGTTGCTGGCATTCCGATCACAGTGCATGCATCACACCATTCCAAGCAAGGGTTGCTGCATACACCTCAGCATTTCCACGCTAGTATGTGCGCAGGCACTGCGGCTTCCGCAAAGCGTTGGGGCGGAACCAGTAACGCTAGCACCAGTGGCACATGCTTCGCATTTGTATAAGGTACTCCTCTAATGGTGCCATCGTATAAGGTACTCCTCTAAGACACCAAGGGAGTGTGCCTTCGTGTTAACCCATGTATGAAATGTAGCCTGCCTGCCATTGGCACGTGTATTTGTACCTGGGTGCATTTTGGCGACGATTGAAAGGGAAAATGCTTAACAAGTGTATGTTGTGTTAGTTAGTTCACAAATAGTGGCTCTGGGGATGGCTCCATCGGGGGTTGCCTCGTTTCAGGAATTGAATGAATTGCTACCGTGCAAGACAGTGCACCTACCTAGCTTATCCGGTCAACTGTCTGGATCTGTTTACTGCCCCATAACATAGAAGCAAACAAAAATGCGACAAAATACTGGGGATAGATCAACCTGTGACTTTAGTATTCTGAATTCGTTTGGACCAGGGAGCCCTTGCTTCCCCGGGGAGTGCCAAGAGTCTCAGCACACCTAGCTTGTGCACTTCCTTGTGCCTCAGTTTGCAAACTGCACTCAACGCTTGTGTATAGTTTAGAGCAGCAATGCTTCAGATCCTGCTGACGCTAGCTGGATTTGTACCTTTCTTGAATTTCCAGGCATCCGACAACGGATGTTTTGGGGGCACGGTAGTAGCGAGACGGGCCTCAAAATGCTTCGGATAGATATGTAATTGCGATTTCTGCATACAATACTGTATTTAGGCATACAACATGTTATAGGTTGCTATCCCTCCGAATAACAACAGTTGGAACGGGAGACAGCGTATGGCTGGTGGCGAGCACGGAATCCTACAATGGAGAGGAACACGGGAGGAATTCACGCACACCTACACACCCATACTATGGACACAATACATTTGAAACCTATACTTTTAAGTTGTTGGCCTGTAATTCATGGTGTCTGGCCAAGAATATACCCCAATCCTTCTCCAACGGTGCACCGGATACCATCGAGAAACCAATGTTGTGATCCGCGACAGGACAAAATTGAAGATATCCAGTTACACTCACAACGACTTGTTTGGAAAATGTAGATAATGAAGTTGATGGGAAGGACTGCTGAACTGATTCTTTCCCCCCCTCCCCCCGTCTCCAACCGAGACTGGTTAAGAACCCAACGAGTTGGTTGGTGGATCACAGACGCAGTCCTCACAATGCCTTATTAAGTTAGTCCAAATAAATTCAAGGGGGAAAGGCTCCTATGAAAGCGTGCTCTCTGCTTTAGAACATGTCTAAATTTAAGTAACACGCTCGCTTGGTAGTGCCAGACTGGTGCCACATTGAGGCGCGTTAAACTCAAAACGACATTCACTTCCAGCTCCACACCGGTTCTAATTAATACAACAAGTGTTAAAGAATCAAAATAATCTGTCTGTAGCCAAGACATGCAGCTCCTAATGGACTCGAATGCAGTTGCCACCGCATGGAGCCGTCGCTTATCCCTGACTGGCCTTGCACAGAACCCAAGTTCTCCCATTCACCTTATCAGAAGTTGTCCATAATGACCCGCTGTGAGTTCTATTCACAATAGAATCATTTGCAAAGCAGAAATAGTTCTTTTGACTCTGAAAATTATCTGTTGGTCTCTGGCTGTCAATCAAGCCGTTGCCATTACAGAATGACTCACGTGGTCTCACGCCGTGCACGGGACGGCGGCGCATGAATGATTTTCCCACGAACGTTGAAGGTTTGTTGTAGTAGGCGATTCCCCTAGAATTTATTTTCTTCCATTCCAAAAATTCGCTTTGCCAGTTTTCTCGGACACCTCGGCTTCCTTTTTTATGCACGGTCTGCCTCATCGATTTCATAACATACACCACCCGGATTCCTCGTCCTGTTGCAAATATTTCACATATTGCTCAGCTTTGAACTGGACCCGTTTTTCCCACGGCAAAAATAAAAGAGGCATACTGCTGGCAAATTCCAGCTTCCGAACACCCTTTTGATGGGCACGGTGGGATTCGTGGTCTATTAAGTGTCACAGCGGGCGCCTGCACCTGTGGAAGGTTGTAATGCTGATGGCTTCCACCTTAACAAATTAAAGCCGTGGACAAATGCACAAGATGCAAACTATGGCTCAGGAGAGTGAAACTCCTAACGTTTCGTCTGCCCTGTCCCCTACTGCGTTTCCAACTGTTAGATCCACCTGCGCAGGGTCTGGGTTTCTCAGACAGAGAGAATGTCATCCTGCTGACTGTCTGCGTCTTTTTCTGGCAACCATAGCCTCAGTCGCAACAATTGCTATGCTAGTATTTTTCTGCTGGCGCACTTATCAGGGGCGGACTGTCCAATACCGTCGAAGCCGAAGACTGTCCACCACAGAAGGGGGAGGTAACCCAATTCAAATTTGCGGTAGCTCAACTAACGAAGAGAGCCAGCTGGAGCACCACAATCCTCACCTTTCCGATTCTGCTGCTGCTGAGGAATATCCGTTGCCACTCAAAAAGAGGTTGTTGGCACGGGTGGTTGAAGCTGGTACAGGTGGGGGTGAACGTAATCCCCATAACCAAGGGCACCAGCAGCATCACCATGGAAGCGGTGAAGTCCAGGTCAACTATTTTCCACCTCAGACGTTCCCAATGCGGGATCAGGTTGCCCATGCAACATTTTCGGTTCCCAATTTACTGTCTTCATCGCACTTGCGGACGCCGCCTGTGCTAGATCCAGCAACAGGCCTGTCGAATCTCCCCCTTCGCCAGCATCGTGCTGGACAGGTTGATTCAGGCAAAAGGTATAAAACCCCCAAGAAATCCCGACAGCTGAAGAGCCAGATACGGCGGACGCCGCGGCAGCTGCAGCAAGAGCGGCGTCACCGCCAGCAGGTGCACCTGCGGCAACACGACGACACGAGCGACCCGAATCAACAGCAGCACTTGCACTGGGGGCACGTGGGTTGGCAGAAGCAGCCGGAGCAGCTCCAGCCTTTGCTTAAACGGAAGAAGCACCCCCCGGCTTTGCCTCAACAAGATCAGCGGCAGGTAATACAAACTCAGAAGCAGCAGCAGGCAACGGAAGCGAGAGAACAGCAACTGGAGCAAACGAAGAGCAAGCGAGGACAGCAAGAGAAACCACAGCAGCCACAGGACCTCTTGCAGCCTGCAGATACGGCAACGCGATATTTGCTGGAAGATAAATGGGTTGCCCCGGAGTTTTCAAGTCCGCAGGCCCCTCAGCCCAGCACCTCTCAACAAGTGTTGCAGTTTTCTGCTGCTAAAGCATCAGAAAGTCCCTCCACTTCCGCGAGCTCTAGCGTGCAGGTCATTTCGGGTTTTCCACTAGATCTTGGCGCTCATGCTTCTACAGCTGGTGGAGGGGATTCACGGGATGGAGCAGCTGCAGCACCCGCAGAACAGGCTGCTGCAGCGAAGGTCGAATCTTGTTGTGACCTGTCCTCCTCTGGTGCAACGGCGCCAATTGGGGAGGACATGATCATGACGGTACCTGGGTCTTCTAGTTCATTGATTCTTGACACAACTACAGATGCAAATAAAGCGGCAGCTGCCGTTGGGAAAGCGGCAGCTGCTGCAGTTTCAACGGGAGCAAGCTCCTCCATGCCCATATATGTGCCGAGCCCGTCAATCACTAAGCTGCTAGGAACGCAGACTGCTGACCATGAAAGAAAACGCCCCTTTGTGAGTCTGCCGAAGCGAATCAAGGACACATCTTCGGATTCGATTTCGGTTGAATTTGAGCGCGCCGTGACAAGCCGGCGTATACCGTGCAGCGCATGGGCTTCGTTGCATAAGGCCCACAAGCTGCTGTCGCAGGAAGTTTTGGTCGACACTCACATGATGGAGTTAGCTCAAATAGCAGAAGATCTAGTAGGGAACGCAATGCATTTCCAGGGACAAGACTTGTCGCAACATCAGACCTACCGTGCAGTTGAACGCTTAGCGATCCGTTTCATGCTGCTGGACGTTGTGGTTTCCACCTTGATGATTCTCGAGCAGAAACCAGACCCTGGCCAATGGAAACGTTTTGCAGAGGCCATTAGCGACGCCGCCCCCGATCCTGCCACAACGGCAAACTACACGCAGCGAGCGCTTTTTTCCTTATCTCTGGCTCAGGAGCTGGGTAGGGGAATACGAATACTGAAAACGGGAAAGAGGCCGCATCCAGATGAACTCGTGAAGATCAGGCGAATGCTGTTCTGTTCCCCTTTATCTCCTGCGCGTTTCAGAGAACGGGATTTCGATCACTGGAGGTTGGAAGACGGAACAGCCCCTGCTTGGTCTTAGCTTCTTTGGTCGAAGAGGGGTTTTCCATGCTTTTCAGTGCATCAAGAAGATAATCGAGGGAAAAGATATATCCGTATTTTTGTCAAGCATTGCCCACTTATGCTGCGTCCCCAGTCTCTTCATCATCCATCGGCAGCTATTTTTATGACAGTTTCTGGAGAGCCGACCAGCTAGTTGATACAACTGCCAACAATGTCTGGGAAGGGATGTTAGGTGAAAGTTAGAATCACTGGTTGGGGTTCACTGGCTCGAATACAAACAGAACGAAGACAGCGCCGACAACCATAGAGATGTACACGGAATCTATTGAGAGACAAAACGAAACATTGATTACCTTATGCTTTACTGCGCAAAGCTACGTGGGCACCTAATCAGGTCGGATGCGCTTCTACCTTTAGTGTACCCGAATCCCTCGCTTACAGGTCTTAGAAAAGGCCCACAGCACTAAAACGGAGGGGTTGTGTATACACCTCTTTGACTCTACGCCTGTATCTGCGCAGGCATTGAGGATTCCGCAACGTTTGGGAAACACCAATTGCCCCAGCTACTGCGGCAAATGTTCCGCAGGAGTGTATTAGGCGGCTCCAGTGAAGGGATGCTTTCGTGGTAGGGCATGTATGGAAAGTGGTTTGCCTGCCACTGGTACACGCATTTGCGATTGTGCGCAGGATGGTCACTGTGGATCAAGGGAGTCTGAAACAAGTGTCCGCGGTGTTATTCCATCGATCGAAAAGGGCTTGGTTTATGGTTGCCTATGAGGTTGACTTGCACAAAGATTTGAGATAATGTGAGGTAGGTGCACGAAATGTTGCTTAAGGAGGCTGCCTTGTTGTAGGAGTTGAAGCATGGCGTCTTTCCATTCATCGTAGCCTGCCTGTTCTAACTAACAGCAACAGGCGTTTTTGCGTCTCTTGCCGTGGTGGCTGGAGCCTGAAGGAACTGTGAGCTGCGTTTGTGGTAACTCTTATCATTAGTGCTTTGATTCTATCACAACTCACGTCCGCCCACAGTTAAGTTCGGGGTAAATTGGTATAGAAAGGGCAACTCTTGAGTCGCAGCACCCCTTAGAGCCGAAGTCAAGGGTAGGGAGTTTCCAAAAAAATGCTTACAGCCCCGGTTATTCCCCCAGGTATCCTACCACGGACCAAAGGCCTAAGAGTAGTGCTGAGAGGAACCTACGGATCATGAGCTGCAGTGCACCGGGCTACTACTAATGCTACGAGGGAGCCCCTCATCCCAGCACCCACAGGCTGCATGCAAAAGCACGGTAAACAGTTCTTAAACACTACCTGGAGCGCCACATCCAACCTGTGAGCAAATAGAAATGTCTGCCGACATCACGAATTTCAGACTCTTTAGTATAGCCTGTTCGATACTTCTCGATACAAAGCTCTACCGATACACTCTCACCTCAACCTTGCCACACCCTGGGCCCGTGCCCCGACGTAGGAATAAGCCTACACCGCAGTGTGTGCAAGAGAAATTCGGTAGTCAGGATGTGTTCCGGAAAGTAATGCCCTTGTTTAGATACGGCCACAGTTGTTGTGACCCGTTTCAAATGATGTGGTTTCAAGCAGCAAATATACTTCATGTAGATCGTGTTGAAGATGAAAATAAAGCTAGGGAGGCAAGAAGCTCCTCCACTACTTCCTCATCGGGGGAACCGTCATGTTGTGGGTTGACGGCAAAGGCAGGGGAACCCATCATGAAAAGTTCTGGGTGTAATAACATTGTCCGCTGAAGATGGTTCTTTCCGTCTATGCACCCAACTGTTGGTCGCGGCTCCCCGTCTAGGGAGAGTCCGAGTCCTGCATTGTGGAATAAACGTGAAAGGCTGAACTTCAACGATACTTTGGGACAGGTAAATGTTCCCTGCTGAGCCTGCTGTAGGGTGGTGGTTGTTTTTCGTATGTGCGTCCCTTGAACCAGAGGGTTCTACCACGTGGGGGTTCGGGGTCTGTGAGGCATACTGCGAGCTCCAATGGAACCGAAATAGTAGTGAAGGTGAGAGCTTGTAAAATACAACTGAGATCCATTCCTTGTGTGCTGGAGCCCTGAGAGCCGCGATTCAAGAGCTTGTAGAGGACGCACAATGCCATAAATTGCAACGCAACTTGCCGCATCTCAAGCTTCAAGGCGGCCTCACCTACACGCGCATACAGACTTTCTTGGCTGTATCTATGAATACTGCAGATCGCTGTTGAGAAATTGTGCTTGCATATTGCACGCCTACTACGGCCGCGTAATGGTTCGGCGCGCCCAGGTCACTGACTTGCCACCAGAGCACAGCCTAAGCTACACATTCGGTAGAGAGTCGTTGGCATATGCAGTCACCACTGTGGCCTGCAATATTTGTATTAACTACTATTACGAAAGCATGCAAGAGTTAAGAAGAACTAGTGTGCTGAAAAGATCACCAGGCGATCGATGACCGGACGGGAGATTAGGCCGCGCCCAACCCCCAACGCTAACTTTCCCCTGCACGCCGGAGTTAGTTTTGAAAAAAGCTCTAATAAAGCCATATATTCGGGTAACAGCAAAGAGGCGCTTGCTTCATACAAAAAGTAATGCGAGTGTTACTGCACAGTCACTTGTCAGTGCGCCGGTGCCTAAAGAACCTTCATTGCTACAAACTTCCCATATTTCTGTGAAGGAAGCTGAGTTACAGAACTACTAGAGGCTGTGTTGAAAAGGTTTCAGATCTTGTGGATAGATAATGTCCCTTCGATTCAGTCGACTACTTTTGGCTCAGATGAAACGCATCGATTGTCATATGGGGGAAGGGTCTCTGGCTGTAGGCTCACGGCATGCAGGGAACCGCGACAGACGATGGTTTGGAATTCCCCACGAAAGTTAACACCTCATAGTACTGGCAGTTCCATTTAAATGTAAGATTTTTTATATTTAGAGTGCGTGTTCTGCCGATGTTGGCGTACAGCCAGTCGCGTTTTTTTTTTTTCTGTTGGAGCCTACCCTAGCGATTCGATAACATACACGCTTCCTCGTTCCCTTAGACATATTTCATACAACGCTCTCCTCTGAGCTAAATATACTTTTAATTACGACACCATAAAACAAGTCTACAGCATTTGTCATCCACCATTTGAGAACTATCTCGGTTCCTGCGGCTGAAGTCTACGGAGTTCAGAGCCACAGCTCAGCGCACTGCCTTAGCAGATAGTGTGCCTTATGGCTTCCACTCTGTTATTTTAACGCTGAGCCCAAATGCGCGAGAAGCACAATTTTCTTCTTGAAAATGGCACTCAAAGCACTTCGTCAGCCTTTGCCCATCCACGGCTGCCAATGTTGGGATCTAGCTTTGTTCGATCGGGAAATTTGGGACAGAGATCCTGCCGTTCCCTACCGTGTGTGCGTTTTTTTCTGGCAGCCATAGCCTCCGTTGCAGCAATCACTGCACTCGTCCTTTTCTGTTCGCGAGTTTACACGAGACGCGCTGTCCATGGCCTTCGAAGCCGGAAGCTGGCAAAGTCAGAAGACAATGAGGCATTAGTTAGAACTTGCGCCGGCTCCAGTGACGAAGACGGGGAACAGGAGCCCCACGGTCAGCCGCATGAGAACGGTTCCGTTGGCTTGGAGACGCATTTGCCCTTGAAAAAGAGATTGTTGGCAAGAGTGGCTCAAGCCGGGAGGGACGACGTCTTGAGCAGTCCCCAGCAGCAAAGGCAGCAACTTACCCCGGAAGTGCAGACCTCGAGGGAATTCGGTTTACGCACAGGATTGCTGGCCCACGGCCCTCACCAGCATGCTGGACAATCTTCTTCACATGCGCTGCAAACATCTCTGCAAGTGTGGGAGCAGAGGCCACCACTGAGTGGGATGCAGCCAGAGCTGCACCGCCTGCAGCAGCAGCTGCCCATAAACCCGCCGAGCCTGCAACAGCAGCATTCCCACGTGCTGCCGGAGGGAAGTGAGCCGTATCAGAAGCAGCAGCAGCACTTGCTGTTGCAGTGGCCACAGAAACAGCTGCAGCAATCTTTGCCTCATCTTCGGCGGCATGAGTCTTTACTTCAAAAGCAGGGGAAGCAGCTGTTACAACCGATGGAACGCCAGGTGGGGATGCAAGACAGCGAGCAACAGCAGGCACTGCCAGAGAAGCGGCAGCAAGCGAAGGTGCAGGATGATAGTGACGAGCAACCCAGTCGGAAGAAGCGGAAGCGAGAAGAGCAAACAGAGCCGAATGCACGGAAGGAACAGCTGCAGCCGGTGGTGGAGCCGGAATGCTTGGAGGAAGATGCCTGGCTTGCATCCGGCACCTTAGGGTCTCATGAGCCTGAGCACAGCAAGCAACAAGCGCTGAAGTCTCCTACTGAAGTAGCAGTAGCAGGCCCATCGACGTCCGCGCACCCCACCGTTCAGGCAACTCCGGGATCATCAGTACCTTGTATTGTAACATTGCCAGCAGATACCGCTGCTGGGGATTCAGAGGATGAAACTTCTGCTGCTCGTGCTTCAGGGACAGCAGCAGCAAATGCAGCAGCTGCGATCGACCGGCCTCATGCTGGCCTGGCCTCCGCTGCATCGAGGCATGCTAGAAGAGGCATGAGCTTACAGGTGCCTGTCCTTTCAAGTTTACTGACTGGTGGCAGGATGGAACTGGGAAAAGCAAAAATTGTAGCTGGTGGATCAGCAGTAGCCTCCGCCACACCCACCTCTGTATCGACTCCGGCTTTGGTAACCAAGTTACCATCGAAGGAGGATTTTATTAAGGGCGCTCTAGAAAAACACCCTTATGCACGGCTGCCGACGCGAGTGGTGGAAAATGTACCGCTTGAGTTTCAGGTCAACTTGGAACGAGCAGTGACCCGAACGCGTCGCAGGAGGCACCCCATCCATCTTCTGCGGAAGGCTCATAATCTGCTCTTGTTGCAGTGTTTGTTTCCAATGCAGTTGAAGGAGCTGGCGGAAACAGCGGAAAATCTAATAGCCCACTCGATGGAATATCAAAGTGTAGATGTATCGGGACACCTAACCTGCCGCGCAGTTGAACGACTGGCACTCCGTTTCCTTATTATGGATGTTGTGGTTTCCACCATGATTGTGCTCGGGCAGTCAGAGGGGCTGATTAACAATGAACATTGGAATAGATTCACAAGCGCTGTTAGCCACGCCGGGCCCCCACCGATCATGCGATACTATCCAGGGCGACCGCAATTCTTTTCAGGCTTGGCCCAGCAACTCACCTGTGCAATTCAGACACTCAAGACGGGTATACGGCCGTCAGCCAAAGAGCTCGTGAAGCTCAAGCGGAAGCTCTTCTGCTTAGAATTATCTCCGGTGCGCTTGCAAACCGAAGACTTCGAACCGTGGAGGCAGGATGACGCCTGTCGCGCCGATGGGTTATAGCTTTTCTCGTTTTAAAAACGAACTTCTTGCACACATCCTGTTGGTGGGAGAGATGACACGAATTTGTATTTTAAGCGGGGAGCACACCGTTTGTGTCGTGTCTGTGTGCCTTCATGAGCAACTGGCTGCTATTACGGTGACACGTGCTGACACTTTTGATTATCCCTCATCGTCACAATTCCGGGAAAACGGTGCTACAATTGGTCCTCAATGAAAGAACACCTTCAGCCTACTTGTCAGGCGGCGACTTGAATCTGAACGGAGAAAAAACGGCACAACTAAAGTAGAACCGATGGGACTTAACAGCTGAGACAATGAAGTTTTGGTTGCCGTCTGTTGTAATATGTGAGCTGCATGGATACCCGGGTACGGTCTGAGGCGCCCCCTATCGCTGGGATGGAGTTGAGTGAAGTGACTCGAGGTCGTCCCGCATCTGGCACAGCGCTACACCCAGGGTACTCCTGCATACACCGAAGCGTTTCCCCGCATGCGTGAGCGCAGGCATTGCGACATTGGCGAAGCATTTTGGAGACGCCAGTGATGCTGACAAGTGTTTGGCAATACAGTAACATCATATAAGGCAACTCTATTGATGTGGTTCCTCAAAGGTGGCATCTCGAAAGCAATGTTGTTGCCTAACACTTGTACGCGTACTTGTGGTTTCGTGCCGCTTGGCCATCGAGGGCCATGGGAGCCGTACGGGATAACTCTACAGTGTTTGCCCATCCGTCAGATGGGGCAGGAATATGGCTGCTTGTGGTGTGGCTGTGCAGCAGGACTTCTGGCCAGGTCTGGTGCAACATCTGGCAGCACGTCTCTTCTGCTCACCCTTTTTAGGCGTCTTATTTGCCGTTATAGCCTTTGGACAGTAGAGGAGGTCAGCTAGTTTAGGGGGGGCCCATATTTTGGGGATTTTGAACTATATATTGTAACTCGTTATGGCCCTCGTGTAAACTAACTTGGGGGACTGTTGTAACAGAGGAGCCCACCCCACATCTGCACCACTGCTTGCCGTAGTTCCTGCAGCCTCTCATACAGCCGCAGCATACTTAGGTCCCTCTAGCTTGGCGTATGCGCTCTTGCCTTAGAGAGGTGCTATACACTTCCTTATCCCTCAGTAGACAACGTGGCCAAGAGCAAATATGCATTTACCAGCATGAACAGACGGCGCTTAGCAGATAAGGTTTCCCAGCTCTATTGCCCTGCAAATGCTTCGCAATATTCAATTTTGATTACACAAAGCGCCAAGCACTGCAAGCAACCTCGATTAGTCGAGGACTCAGTGGGGTGTTTGGACTTCTATATCCCATTGCCGTGAACAGGCCTTGGAGCTAATGAAATACCGTTAGATGCATCCGCCTTATATGATATTACTGGAACTCAGCGCAACGTGGGCAGGGGGAATATCCTAACTCTCTCGCTGCAGCATAGGCACTAGCGTGCCGAGACGAGCTTCTTAGGGGCGTGCAGTGTCTCTTCCCTCGGGGGAAGCCCAACACAGGCACTAGCCTAGATTTGAACTCCATTCCCCTATTTATACCAATTATTGTTGCACTTGATCGACATTTACAACGTATACGTCCTTAGACGGGCCACCTTTACACTATACATTTTTACAGGACTCCACAGACTTACGCCATGGCGACGTTCCTTGATAGTCGATAGCGTTGTCCGGATGTAAGCAAGTCTCTCCGAAGCACAAAAAACACTGACGTTAACAACTGCCCCAGGTGCCATCTACCTACCCAAAACAGGTATCCATCCAGGCCTCATGGCCAAAACGGCAAAATGCACTGAGATATGGAGGCTCGTCGTGGATTGCAGTACACCTTTCTGCAAGTCCTTCTACATGGCAACGCCACGTACAACGTTGCCCAAGCGCTGTTTCGATGCGTGGGTCAACCCTGACAGGCCACTCCGCTTACGAGATGTAACGCCTGCCCAACACCTTGTTCGCGCTGATTAACACGTGCACCGCCATGACATAAACTATGCTCGAGACATGCTTCAGCATGAATGTATCGTTTCAGAGCAGCAGCCATATGTTGTTCTTGGTGTTCCCTGCCGCAAAGCATATTTCCCTAATACCCGTGCCATTGGCATCTCACAAACGCTTCGTTGAAGCCGCACCGTTTGCGCAGATACAGGCGAGCAAGCGTTGGATTGTATGCATAAGCCCCCAGACACTTCAGCTGTAACACTTGTGTTACGGCCTCGAGTCATTTCATCTATATCGCGAAACGCCTGTGACGCGATGAGGTACCAACACAGCTCCACACAATAAAAAGGAAGATAATCCATTCTGCGTCACCTCCCATATTAAATTTCCTTCATTTTAGAGTGAATAGCAAAGTGATTTGTGTGTGGTTCCTCCCAGTCGCCTGCACTGTTTCTGTTCCGCTAATCAAGTGGAAGAACACCAACTGGGCAACGATTGCCCCCGAGTTTTTTATCTACTGCGGAGTCTGCTTTGCGCTTGACACTATATGCACTCGAAAGTATCGAATGTCGACCGTACAACCGCATTGATTGCTAACGAAGGAAAGCGACCTGGACCCAAACAGTAGTGTTGCTCAGCATGCAGTTGTATCACTTTGACCAGTTTTTCTCCTCTTCAACTACAGTACATGCACAACTACCAGTTTCCGTGAAAGAAGCTAAGGTTCACTGGTGGTAGCCATGTCATCTTTCCTCCAGCGGTCGAAGTCAGGTGCTTTAAAACGCCGAGGAGCTTCCGGCGAGCAGAAAAGCATCCTCTTGATATATAAGAGGCATGCGGGGTCTGGTCTACTTCCCGTCTTGAGTGTTTGTATTGCCTTGCTGAGCTCCTGACCCAGAGCGGTGTTGAAGGTCTGCAACTCTTCTTTCTTCCTACCCCGTAATGCCAGGGGCGGCGCAGCGTGGCTGATGGCATCTGTGACGGTCTTCCAAACTCCAGGGTCTGCGTCATAGCCGAGAACTATGAAGGTGGACACCACAACATCAAGCATGAGGAAACGCAAGCCCAGTCGCTCAACTGCGGTACTGGGTGGTTGTTTCGACATGTCCTGATGCTGATGTTTTGCCGCATTCCGCATCAACTTTCTCGCTACCCTCGCTAAATCCCTCATCTGAGAAAGTTCCAAAAACCGGCGCGACAGCAGATCATGAGCCTTCTGCAGGAGCGGCACGACATCCCGCCTGCAGGGCCGAAAGACCAGTGCGCACTTCAAGTTAGCCAATATTGCAGTTGGAGTCTTCTCTACTATTCGCAGCGGCAGATGAACATACGGGTGTTCTGTCACAGGCCCATAGGGGTTGGGCGTCTCTGGCAGCTCCGTTCCGGCCGGAGCCTGTGCAGTTGCTGGCATGGCGAAAACGGCTCCTCCTATGGCTGAGTTTCCAGCAACTGTTGCTTCTTCGTCTTTGATATTGTCAGGCGTCTGCAGGCTAGAAACAATCGGTTCCCCCACTTCCCTGCCTTCTCTGGTTGTCGACGTAGAACAGGCCGGGTCATCATATGGAAACCCAGGCGCGGCTGCCGCTCTTGCTGCTCCAGCCATTGATGCTGAAGCTACGGCAGCATCAACTGCATGCTCACGAGACGGTGGACTACTAGCAAGTGGAAGTCCCAGAGACACCTGAACGGTGTGACGCGTGATCAGAGAGGAAGTAGCTGCCACTGCAGCAGAAGACTGCATCGCCAGTTGATGGGTTCTGGGTTCAGAAGTCTCATGCCGTGGAGACGAATCAATCCATTCATCTTCCTGCACATACCTTGAAAGGGGATCTGCAGGACGCAGCGGCTGACGTTGTTCTAGTTCCAGTATCTCCAGTTCACCTTCCTGTCTTCGCTCCCGCTTCCCTTGATCTTGGACCTCTTCTAGTTCAACCTGGGGAGCCACCGCCTGCTCCTTCGCTATCACCGCTTGCTGCTGCACATGATCTTGCATTACCTGCTGCTGCTTTCGCTCCAGCAGCTGCTGTAGAATGGTCTCCTGCTGCTGACGTTGCTGCTGCCAAGGCAGGTGCTGCCAATACATGTGTTGCTGCTGAACATGTAGATGCTCCTGGAGATGGGGCTGCTGCGGCTGATGGTGCCGATGCTGGATCTCCAGCTTCCTCTGCGACCGGCGCCTCCTTGGCTGCAGCTTCCTCTCCTCACGAGAGGCTGGTTTCCTTGCATTTTGAGCAGAATGTCCAGCAGGATACTGATATGTATCGAGAAGCACTTGCCCTGCGGCTGCATCGGGCATGCTGGGCATTCGCAGGTGCCCTGACGACGGTGGGTTTCCAATCGGAAATGGTGCTAGGCCAAACTGCTCCTGGCTCGGACCTGAGCTACTTTCGGGTGAAACAAACTCAGTTGTAGAGGCTTCATGAAAATACTGCTGTTCCTGTTGCTGGGGATTACGCCAATCACCGCCGGCCCCGGATTCAGCCACTCTTACCAGCAATCGCTTTTTAAGGGGCAGACTCCACTCGCTGCCAGGAACATCGTTAGGGAGACGCGAGCCGTTGTGCGTTTGCTCCACTTCTTCCCCATCATTCTCGCAGATTTCAAATGGCGCATCTCTGACTTCTGAGCTGGCCAGCTTGCGGCTTCGACGGGCCAAGAGTGCACGTCTCTCGTAGACCCTCGAACAGAAAAAAACGAGAGCCGCAACTGCTGTAACGGACGCTATGGCCGCCAGAACAGCACGAAGATGCTGAGGCGAACGCCAGGCTCTGTGGCTCAAGTTTCCCGACCAAGCACAGGCCGAGCCAACCGATGGCAATTCTGAATACGCAGAGGCTGGAGGAGCCCTTTGAGTTGCATTCTCCTGGAGGATATTAGGCTTCTCTGGCATTTGGCCTCAACGCTTAAGCGCTAAAGTAGGAGCCATGAGACAAGCCACACAACGAGCAATAGCCAAGTGCATCCCTCTCTGGCAACACAGCTTCCACCCCACCAACCAAGGGGAACCTTAGTGGCCAGGCGCTAAATGTCCCAGATTTCTTCTACTGCGTGTTTCCATCAAGCAAAGTTTATCTACCTCACAGCAACGCAATGCACGAAATACTGTCCAGGGAAGGAGGACGCGGTACTGAGAAGTCACCAGGGAGCAACACGAACATAAAAGAGCATCAGAGGTATGGCGACGTTACATAATAGGAAATTAGACGTAAAATTATTTGCATACAAATGGAATGCTTAGGACGATGGACTTTCAACTGCCTTGGGGATCTGAACCTGGCGATGCCCTTCGCTGCATGGCATGAGACCGTGCAACTCAGCCTCTACAATTGAGGACATATGCTTGGCGTCCTGAGACCCAGTGGTAATTCGTGAAGACAAAGTTGCAATTTCTGCTTCTTTAGTGGTGGGGTTGTCAATAATACATATTGCAGATCACTACGTTTATTGGCTGACGACTGAAGTCGCCAAACTTTCACATGTTTTCGAGCAGAGGCAACGGTTCTATGATGCGTATTCCCTGCGAAGTTGACAAATCTGTGAGAACTTGGAGCATTAGTGCTTATCAGGCCTAAGTGTGAAAACCGGCAGGGAAGCACAAGTCTTAACAACTGTTTGCAAGGTAGTGCATGCAGCAGAGCAGGCCTGTTCGTGCTTGTAGATAGGGCCCTACCATACTAATAGTTACAGCACGATACGCCGCAACCCGACACACCACCACCTCTCTTGCAGCTAGCAAGTTCTTGGGCTCTAAGGAAGCCTAGATGTTGGGGAGGGCGGTCAAGGGCTTTTGCGAAACTGTCAATACCACTACACATACAGGCAGTCATTGGGCACATTCGGCAACAATAGTTTTACTAAGACTGTAATGAGAGTGTTAGACTTTAACAGAGCACCTGTGTTGTCTACAACAGAGCCAAAACCATGTTGTCATGAATCCTGAGCAGCCGCACACCAACTTCATGCTGGAACATGTGGCTACGGCGTATCTCAAGTTAACCGAATAAGCAAAAGGATTCTTGTGCACTATTGGACTCGGCCGACGAACATAGGAGTGTTCTGTCACAGGCCCATAGGGGCTGGGCGTCTCTGGCAGATCCGTTCCAGCCGGATTCTGTGCAGTTGCTGGCATGGCGAAAATGGCTCATCCTATGGCTGAGTTTCCAGCAGTTGTTGCTTCTACGCCTTTGATATTGTCAGGCGTCTGCAGGCTAGAAACAATTGTTTCCCGCACGTCCCTGCCTTCTCTGGTTGTCGTCGACGCAGCAAAGGCCTTGTCATCATTTGGAAACCCAGGCACGGCCACCGCGATTGCTGCTGCACTTCCTGCAGTTGACCATGCTGCTGCGATCTCGGGTGCAAGAGTTAAAAGAGGTTGACAAATTTAATTCGCAGTAGTGCTGAGACTCTACGGCGGAGGAGTGAATGCAGTACGTCGTTAGGGTCTGCGAAGATTGATGCATTGGTAGGTCGATCCAGTGGAGACAAGAGGAACAGCACGGGCAGGAGCAATCAATGGAAGATGCCGCAGGCGAATCAAAAACTGTAAGCTGCGAGCTGGACGGGCACAATCTGGGCATTCACTACTCAGCATTGAACTCATCCTAAGGTCAGCCCCAAGCATTCTTCCAAAGTAGAGGCGACCCGAAGGTCGTGGAGAGGAGTACGAGTGACAAACAGTCGGACAGCTGAAAGGAGGCAACAGGAAGCCGTCAGCTAATTTATTTAGACACAATAGGGCTTTAGAGAAAAAAAAGACTGCAGGCTCCGCAGATGAGTCGGCTGCAAAACCCTGAGCATGACAACGGTGAAACAGATTGCACCAGAGGCCCCCGATTCAGGTCCTCTACAGCGTGGGGGGATAAGCATCTTCATTCGATTTCCTTGATTATCTGGGATTTCAACTCATCTTTGTGATGTCTATCTATGGCTGTAGTGCACTAAACAAAACTTGTGAGAGCTCTCAAACTCTCAAACACTCTATGGCCGTAAATGGTTAATGTGCAGATAAGTCAAAATATGTTTACCAGCAGACGGCAAGCCATGCTCGTACGCTGAAGCAGGTCGGACGGTTCATAGAGGAAAAGCACCGTCTAATTAAACTCTCTTATTTTGCTGCCACTCGAATTCGAAGCATTTTCCACTAAAGCTGGCGTCCTTGGCGTCGTCCAAATGCCTCGCAAAAGCTACAATGCCTGCGCAGATTTTTCTGTGGGAACGCTGAAGTGTCTACGCCAATGCCCTGGCAGTTGGGATGCAGTGCTGGTGCTCATACGTCCACTCGAAGCGCCAGAAATGCAGATGATTCAATCAAGTACCAAAACCGTAAAAAGCAACAGGGCAGCGGGTAATTGTAGCTTCCTTTCCTTCCCTACTAGGCTGCGTGCTTTTTTGCTGTAAGGGGCGTTTGCGTTTGATTCCTACTCGATCCACACCACTAGAACAGAGAGGCGGGTACTTCTACAAATTCATTGTTTGTTATGTCTTCGTTTGGGCGAAACTGCGAACAACCGTTTGAGCCCCTCAAAAGCGTCGGTTGTCACCGCCACAAGTCCAGCCAACGGAAGATGAAGGAAAGTAGGAACCGCACAAATTTCTCGCCTATATTTGTCACTCCCTGTATTGTCCCTTTGTCCACTATGATGCACGAGAAGTCCATGCATCTATCCCCTGAGAAACGCTATGAACCAGTGGTGGAACTGCTGTCATCATCCCTCCAGTGATCGAAATCCCGTCTCCTGAAGAGTGCAGGAGAAAATGCCGAGCAGAAGAGCATCCTTTTGATATTCATAAGGTCTGTGGGATCCGGCCTCCAACCCTGCTTGAGTGTTTGTATTGCCCTGCTGAGTTCTTGAGCCCTACACGAGTAGAAATGGGATTGCCCACTGCGGTTGACCCACGTTGTCATTGGGGGAGCATCATGGCTAATAGCATCTGTGAAACGCTCCCACTGTTCAGTCTCTACTTCCTGTCCCAAGATAAGGAGGGTGGAAACCACAACATCCAAAAGGAGGAAACGCAACCCCAACCGCTCAACTGCTCGGCCTGCTGAATACGTTGACAGGTCAAAATATTGGTAATGAATCGCGTGGGATATCAGCTCTTCTGATACCTTCGACAGATCTCCAATCTCACGTAGAGACAATTGTCTTTTCGACAGCAGGTGATGCGCCCTATGAAGTAGAGGTGCGACATCCCTCCTGCCCACCCGAGAAACGGCGGTCCTCACGTCAACCAAGAGCCCACTGGGAACCTTCCCCTTCATCCGCTGTGGCAGACGCACAAATGGGTGTTCTTTCACAACTTCAGGAGCTGAACCCATCTCCTGGATGAGAGTGATTCCAACTCGCGATACAGATGCTGCTGTGGAGGGACCTGCTGGTGTTGCTTCTGCTGCTGTCTGTGCTCCTGTAGTGCTGCCACTAGTCAGTAAACTAGCAAGGATCGGCGCCTCTACGGCCATATCTTTTGTGGTTACTGGCAATGAAGCAGAGGGCGATCCAGCATTAGGAGACTTACGCGCTGCTGCTGCGCTTGCTGCTGTATCGACTGCAGCAGGAAGTACAACATTTTCATTCCTTAGTGCCCTTGCAACTACAGCAGTAGATGTTGCGGCGGGAGCTAGTACATGTTCCGGAGTCACCTGGAACTTGGAAGATTTGGATGTCGAGGGGCCTGATGCTGCTTTTTCTGCTGCTGCAGCAGCAGCAGCAGCAGCAATAGCAGCAGCAGCAGAAGGCTGCATTACCTGTTGTGAAGTACTGGCCTGAGGCGGCCCAGTGCTTGAAGAGTCCTGAACAATCCACACACTTTCCATAAAGTACCCTGAGATATTTCTGGGCATCCTCAGCAGTGGCGTCTGCTGCTCCTTCGGTGCCAACGGCAGTATCTGTTGTTTTTGCCCCCTTGTGTGTCCTCTGCGCTGCTGTTTTACTCCCGCCTGTGCCGCCACTCCTTGACCCTCCTTACTCGCAGCGCCCTGCTGCTCCTGCTGTTGCAATAGTTGCTGCTGCTTAGGCTGCTGTTGCAGTAGTGGCTGCTGCGTTTGCTGTTGCAACAGTTGCTGCTTATGCTGCTGTGGCAATAGCTGCACCTGCTGTTGCTGCTTAGCCTGCTGTGGCAATAGTGGCAACAACTTTCGCTGCTGCAATTGTGTAAATGGTTGCCGCCGCCGTTGCAGTATTTGCTGCTGCTCCTGCTGCTGCGATTCTTGCTGTTTCTTTTGCTGTTGCAATGGTTGCTGCTGCTGTTGCTGTTGCCATAGCTGCGGCCGTAGCTGTTGCAATGGCGGTGGCTCCCTTTGCGGCTGCAGTAGTTGCTGCTGCACCAGCTGTTGCAATTGTTGCTGCCCTTTAGGCGGTTGCAGTAGTTGCCCCTGCTGTTGCTGCTGTTGTTGTTGCAGCACTTGTTGCTGTTGCATTTGCTGCTGCAATTGTTGCTGCTGCTGCGGCGGCGGCTGCTGCTCCGGACGCTGCTGCAAGAGTTGTTGCTGCTCTTTCTGTTGCACTGATTGATGCAGCTCTTGCTGTTGCAATTGTTGCTGCTGCTCCTGCTGTTGCAATAGTTGCTGGTGGCTATGCTGTTGCACTGATTGCTGCTGTTTTTGCTGTTGCACTGATTCCTGCTGTTGTTGCTGCTGCAAAGGTGTCTGCTGTTGTTGTTGCTGCTGCAATGGTGGCTGCTGCACCTGCTGTTGCAATGGTGGCTGTTGCTGTTGTTGCTGCTGCAACGGTGGCTGCTGCTGTTGTTGCTTTTGCAATGGTGGCTGTTGCTGTTGTTGCTGCTGCAACGGTGGCTGCTGCACCTGCTGTTGCAATGGTGGCTGGTGCACCTGCTGTTGCAATGGTGGCTGCTGCTGTTGTTGCTGTTGCAATGGTGGCTGCTGCTGTTGTTGCTGTTGCAATGGTGGCTGGTCTTGTTGTTGCTGCTGCAACGGTGGCTGCTGCTGTTGTTGCTGTTGCAGTGGTGGCTGGCTTTGTTGTTGCTGCTGCAATGGTGGCTGCTGCTGCTGTTGCTGCTGCAACGGTGGCTGCTGCTGTTGTTGCTTTTGCAATGGTGGCTGGTCTTGTTGTTGCTGCTGCAACGGTGGCTGCTGCTGTTGTTGCTGTTGCAGTGGTGGCTGGCTTTGTTGATGCTGCTGCAATGGTGGCTGCTGCTGCTGTTGCTGCTGCAACGGTGGCTGCTGCTGTTGTTGCTTTTGCAATGGTGGCTGGCCTTGTTGTTGCTGCTGCAACGGTGGCTGCTGCTGTTGCTGCTGTTGCAGTGGAGGCTGGCTTTGTCGTTGCTGTTGCAACGGTGGCTGTTGCTGTTGTTGCTGCTGCAACGGTGGCTCCTGTTGTTGCTGTTGCAATGGTGGCTGGTGCTGCTGCGGCTGCGACACTTGCTGTTGTTGTTGCTGTTGCAGTAGTTGCTGCTGTTGTTGAGGCTGCAATACTTGCTGCTGCTGCTGCGGCTGCAATACTTGCTGCTGTGTTTGCTGCTGCAATTGCTTCTCCTCATCCTGCTGTTGCAGTTGTTGCTGCTGTTCTTCCTGTTGCAATTTTTGCTTCTTCCTTTTCGGTTGCCCCTCTTGCTGCTCCTCCTCCTGTTGAGCGGATTGCTGCTGCTCCTGCAGTTGCAAAGATTGCTGCTTCTCCTGCTGCGGTTGTAGAGATTGCTGCTGCTCTTGCGGTCGCGCAGATTGCTGCTGCTCCTGCGGTTGCGCAGATTGCTGCTGCTCCTGCGGCTGCGCAGACTTTTGTTGCTCCTGTTGTTGCACAGACGTCTGTTGCTCCTGCTGCACAGACTCTTTCTGCTCCTGTTGTTGCACAGATTGCTGCTGCCCCTGCTGTTGCGCAGATTGCTGCTGCCCCTGCTGTTGCGCAGATTGCTGCTGCCCCTGCTGTTGCACAGATTGCTGCAGCACCTGTTGTTGCAAAGATTGCTGCTGCACCTGTTGTTGCAAAGATTGCTGCTGCACCTGTTGTTGCAAAGATTGCTGCTGCGCTTGCTGTTGCAAAGCAGGCTGCTGCTGCTGTGGTTGAATTAAGAACTGCCCACCTTGCAGTTGTAGCACAGGCAGGTGATACTGCTGTTGCATCAACAGGTGCTGCTGGTGTTGAAGCCAAGCCTGTTGTTGCAATAGCTGCTGCCAACGCACGTGCTGCTGTTGCTGCAACAGCACGAGCTGATCATGCTGCTGCTGGTGGTGGTGATATAGCTGCTGTTGATGCTGCTTGTCGGTTTGCTGTTGCCGCTGCAACCGGCGCAGTTGTCGCTGTAACTGGTGACGGTGCCACCTCTCCCCTTGCAGATGCCGCTGCAGCCGGCGCAGTTGTCGCATTTGCTGGTTATGGCGCCCCATTTCTGCCCGCTGGCGGCTCTGTAGCCAGAGCAGAAGTCTGCGCAGCTGTTGACGGTTCGTCGCCTCCGTCTGTTGGCGCTGTTGCAGCCGGTGCAGCTGACGCTGCAGCTGCTGGCGGTGCCCCTCCTCCGTCTGCTGGTGCCGCTGCAGCCGGAGAACCTCCCGTCGAACCATTTGTACATCGACTGCATCTGTTTGATTTGTACCAGAAGCAGAAGGGTCAGCAGCATTCTGGTTAGAGAGGAGATTCAGCAGTCCATTTGCTGCATCGAGCTCTCGAGTTGATCTCTCTCGACTTGAAGCCCGAATTGATGGGTGACCAAGCTGCTCCTGCTGCAGAGCTGCTTGAGTTTCGGTCAACCCAGATTGTCCCACAGGGGGGTCATGGCGAAGATATTGCTGTTCCTGCTGCTGCACAGCTCTTTCTTCGCCATCATCACCCACCTCAACTACTTGGGCGACAAGTCCAACGTCAGGCAATTGCCACCCTACACCGGCGTGTAAGTTCTGCAGGTGCGGGGCCTGATGCTGCTGCTCGTCTCCATCAGCAGTGTTCCCGCAAAAGCCAAGCGGCGCATCGCTGTCTTCTGCGCCGGCCAGCCGACGCTTTCCAAGGCCTAGGGCTGTGCGTCTTTCATACGCGCGCGAACAGAAAAAAATAAGAATTACTGTTGCCAGTACTGAGGCTAATGCTGCCAGATAAACACGTAGATACAAGGCAGAATGTAAGGATCTGTGTCTTGACTTGCTTTTTCCAAACCGTGCAGAGATCAATCCCACCGCCGGCAACCCGGAAGAAGTGTCGGCTGCCGAAACGCTTGGAGCTTCATTCTCCTGGATAATATTATGCAGGTCTGGCATTTGGCCACAACGTTAAAGCGTTAAAATGGACCATGAGCCGCATATGCTCAGCACGGGTGTGCGCCCACTGTGGGTCAGGAATACTGCACGGGCTTCCACCCAGCCCACAAGTGGAAACTTGGCTTTATATTTCAATTCTGCGCCTTCATACACGGCAGCCACTGAAGGAGGCTGTCACGTATGAAACTGAGTAGAGTTCAGATGAATGCAGTACATCAAATCCTGCCAGCGATGGTAGGGAGCGGCGGGAGGTTGTGGTGTCACTGGAAGAGTCCAAAAGCAACGAGCTGGTACGATGGCGTGAAAACATCGGAAAAACAAATGTTCAAAGTTGAAAACATAAAAAATTCCGAATGGAAAACCTACCATCGAAAATGTTTCACGGTACCGGTGAAGAAATCCATCCGTCGCTTGTGTCACTGCATCGTGAGGGACTGCGACCCATTGCTCATTCAGTGAACTAATTGCAGTATGTCTGCTTCGCAAATCGTGTAAATGCGAATAATAACTACTTAAAGTTGTTGTGTGCGGCCACTTATGATGGATTTATGTCTCTTGCCGGGTAGGTGGAGAAATTTGTGTCGATTTGCCAGTATGGGCGAAGCAGTAAGTGCACCACACGTTGCAGGCCCACTGGGAATAAAACATCATTTAACTATTTAACAAGTGTCTACAGTGCTGGGGCGTGCATCAAAGGGGGTGTAGCACACATTGTAGTTCGCGTTCCCCGTCCTATCCGAAGTCGATTGAGCACTGCCGAAATACTGAAGTTGGAAGTTCCCTTAAAACCTCTGGCCTCCCTATTTTCCTGAAGTCCTGAAGAGCTGCTCAAGCGCCTGGAGTGCAACGTGTAGTCCTTGACCGATAGGCTATTGCGAGCTTCAATGGATACCAAATACTCACTGTGAGAGTTCGTTAAATGCAACTTGCCTACCTTCCCAGTATTCGGGAGTGCTGAACGGTGCGGCTCAAGTGCTTGGAGCTGATGGAGAGGGGGCAAACGGCCAGGAATCGCAAGGTGACCTACTGCAACTCCCCCAAAGCACGCGGAAACAAGTCTTTGTCAATGCATTTAGATAAATGTAGAGCTTCTCCTTGCTCTTATTTTGCCTATTGTGGCTGTGTAATGATTCGTATGCCAACTTTGGACAGACATCTGCCCCTAGCATGCTCAATCAGCACACTGTCCCTTGCGGGTGTCTGCCTGTTGCAATGCAGCCTAGGCGGCATTCTGCTTCTCCTACCGCCCCGCTCACTTCGTGTTCGTGAAATATGGCATCGAGGACCTAGGCAGTGTGTTGTCCTCCACTACGGCTGAAGAGCTGCTCTTTCGGGAGCAGCGGAACAGCCCACGTTCTGGTGTAAAACGCGCATTGGACTCCCATGTGCAGTGGTAGTGTTATCCTGCCAGTTTTGCCTTTATACCTTGTGATACTGTTACCTTTGCTTGCTGGGTTGGCCTATCCATTAACCAGCAGAGAATCTAATGCTCGGATGCTTGAGTTATCTGCGATGCATGTTGAAACTGCCCGACGTGTCGAGCTGCGCATGCAAGAGGAGCAGTTGAGTACACGATTGATGACACTCGCCGTAGACGGAGTACGGAAACTATATAACGGCATGTGGAATGGGTGGCACATCATCACATGTAGAATTCGAAATATTTAGGCCTCCTTCCCTGTTAAACTTAACGACTACTCGGCATGTAGACGAGGGCCAATGAGAAGCTGAGCTGTTCACGCTCATGTTCGCAGTAGTTGCCGACGAATCCAACGCACACGAGGAATTGGTGAGACCAAAGCATTCTCAGGTGCTTATGCTGCCTTTCGCGTTGCATAAAACTCTCCTTTCTTGGCCTCAATATGTGAGTTTTGAAGATATAAATCATTTCCATTTCCTGCTTTTCACCACGATATCCTTGAAACTGCACGGATAAAGGTAGGGGCACTTCGTTGAATCCCGGTTTGTTGGCATCACCAAGTTGAAAGTAAGCCGGCAGTATACGTCAGAAGTTCAATGGGGTATATCAAACTTCATTGGCTCGCCAGCCCCCTTGCAGACGTCATCAAAAACATCTGGGCCGTTCCAACAGTTGTCCACATCTTTCCTGTCGTCCGGGATTTAACTGGAGCAGATCCTCAAAAGGATTCGTTTTTCGGCCCCTTCCCGCAAGGGCTCTTCACTGCGTACGAGCGTCTTTGCTCCTTTCTACTTGGGACAGTGCCTCCAACCCTCTTTCCACAGATGACGCAAATGCTGTCGAGAACGCTGAGAGGTGCGCCCTCTCTTCGCTTCGTTGCAGGCGTAGCTCAATGCTGTCTTCTGGCGGGTGCATCTACGCCCCCCAATGCAGGACCCAAGGCATGCATAGGATTAGGTCGCTGTCAGCCGGTTTGAAGCACAAGCCCCTATCCTGGTACTGTGACTACTTTCTGGATTATTATCTTATTGTGTGCACACATTTTTCCCAGTCCGAATGTCGTGTCTACCATACGGGATGTGTGACTGCAGAGACTGCATCCAAGAAGCAACTAAGAGATTGCATCTCCTTGCGGTTGCTTCAGAAATCTGGTTTCCTTCGGAAGCTGTGTCAAGTAGTGATGACAACTGCTGTCCTTCAGTATGAGCTCGGATAGGCATAGAGTTATATGGAGGAGGATCCGGGAATGTCAGAAAGAATGCTTTTTGGCGTATGTATACGCTGGGTCCTTTTCGGTACTTTTCACGTCTGTTTAGCGTGACGCCCTGAGGTGGGTGTTAAATTCGTTGTTATTTCCTGCATTCCGTGAACCATGCCGTGTAACCAAGTGTAACGAGGGGTCGTCGGTATTATCTGAGAGCTATTGCAAGCTGTAATGGGGTCAACACACTTAAGATGAGAGTTCCGTGAGTGCAACTGGCCGTCCTTTCCAGTGTCCAGCCTTCCAGAGAGCAGCAAGTGAAGTGTTTTGAGCTGAGGAAAAGAAGTCTGGTCTTGAATTGCGCCGTACGTAACAACTCATGGCAACTTGACGAAACACGAGATGCAAGACAGCCCTGAAGAGCAACTGCGAAGAAGCCCTGGTTGCTACATGGATGAACATTGTAGACATCTACTGAAGACGTTTGCTTGCGTTCAATTTCCCTACTATGGTGCGGTAAGAACTCGACTGCTCACTTCAGACAGTCTTATCCGCACCGCATATGCTGTGCTACTCGAGGCATAATGGTGACACGGACAGCAGAGCATACGAATAGCTCCGTTTGACGAATAAAATCTCCTTTTAACTGAAAGAGTACGAAATACATTGAATAGTCCGGTGCTTTGGAGCTACTAACCAGATCGGGTGTAGTGCACGGGCACTACAACGGCTCACGCTGGGAACTTCTGGCTACATATTCCGTGAAAGGGAGACGATATAATACACTACTACTGTCAACGTCCTTCATTTAGGAAACACTGACGGCCAAAAGGCTACGAACTCCGCAAGCCCATCAAGGTCGTGGGACAGGCTGGGTCGCTCAGGCGCTGACTGACCCACCTTATTCGACCAGACTAAGACAAATATGATATTCTCTCCTTTTGGCTTATTTGAGGACTTAATTATGGTTTTAAGGCTAGTTAAGTGGGTTTATGGGGTTTTCGCGCCATTTATCGGAGGGCGTGCAGATGCGAGGTGCACACGTCTATACATAGAGAAAGCAGGCATACTCCGCTAGCGTACTACCGTGAGCCCCCTTAACCCTGGGCAACAGAGCGCTTTCATTCTTAAGATGGAAGTACAAGCATTAGCAGATTTTAATACAGATAGGACAAAACTGCAAATTTTTCTTATTTCCATACCCAAAAAGTGGCTTATCGATTTACAAAAGGATGACGTACCTGCGAATTTAGAGTAGAGTAGCCTAAGGAGCTGGCAATACATGCGAGTTTGCATATGTAAATTGTGTCTATTTTCGCCTTCAACAAGAGGGCCCAATAATATTAAAAATAAAGATAAATGATTTATCAGGTATAACATCAACAAATTCTCCACTTACGAGGGTAACATGGTGGTTTTCTCTTAGTAAGAGGAACGGGATTTCAGGCAGTCAAATGAACCACCACGGTTGCAGCCCTTGAGGGCCTGTCGTGGCACTGAGGGAAGCGAAGCATAATGAATGACACCACCTCTACACGAAAATTCCTTCTAGTATGTGCTTTGTATGAAATTTCTTTGTTTTCTATTGTATTTTTATCTGTTTTGCCAATGATCTCGCACAACCCGAGCCGTCCGACTGTTCGTGGAACGTCCTAAATGCTATATAACGTACACCGATTTCTTGTATTGTTGTAAATATTGAGTACAATGCATTTTGCTGAAAAATACACATTTTTATTCAGGAGAGCTTCAACTATCTGAAACTCTAATTTTTGGGTTAAGTGGGAATCTATTGCATACTCCTCTGACCCACAGTTAACCTACCCTGCTATTGCTGCTTCTTTGGCTCATGATTTGTATTGTAATATTTTAAACTTGTGGCCAAATGCCTGAGGGGCAAAATATTATTCAGCAAAATGCAACTCCTAGCACTGTATCAGCCTATGCTGATTCGGGGTTGCCAATTGTGGGATCGATATTCGAACAACCCTTAGGGAAGATTCATCGGACGCCTAAACCTTATCGTTCTGCTTCCTATTGGCGTGCTTTTCTTGCATCATTAGCATCTATTGGGGCAATAGTTGTTCTTATTCTCTTATGTTCTCGAGTTCGTCAAGCACGAGTCCTCCAAGGACTCCGAACCCGTAGGTTGGCCAGCGGAGAAGATAGTGACTCAGCCATTGACGTTTGCGTCATCAGTTCTGATGATGATGATGACCAGGAACGCCAGAGAGTGCATATGCCCAGTCTTCCTGGTGAAGGGGAGAGGCAGCTTCCTCTGAAAAAGAGATGGTCGGCGAGAGCTCCAACAAGGGGTACCGGTGATGATGGACGTATTCCGCAGCAGCAACAGCAGCAACCCTATCACCATCAACCCTCTGCAGCTCAGCCAGGTTTATACGCAACTCAAGGGTTGCCACAGACAGAACAGCCTGGAACTCCACCATTTACTTCTGGCGGGCCAGTGGCTCCAACCCACAGGCGGTCACCAGACGAGCTTCTTGCAGCCGCCGAACTGCTGAATCTTCACCGTGATGAACGACACTCTCCTACAGATCCACAGAAAGCTGTGCCCGTGGAGGAAGACCCTATGCTGCAAGAACCTATGCAGCAGCAAGACACACAATATCGGGATGAGTATCAACTCTACACTAGTTATTCCCCTGTGTTACCTGTGTTACCGCAGCTCTACATCCCGCAGCCACAACAACCGTCTGGTTTCTCTAGTTATCCCCCTGTGTTACCGCCGGTCTACATCCCGCAGCCGCAACAACCGTCTGATTTCTCTTTTCTGAGGTATTTGCTTGAAGGACCGACGCTGCAGCAGCCATCTCCGCCTCAGCAGCAGCCGCAGCAGCCGCCTCCTCCTCAACAGCAGCCTCAGCAGCCGCAGCAGCCGCCTCCGCCTCAACAGCAACCGGAGCAGCCGTCTTCCTCGCAGAAGCGCAGTAGGCGGCGGGGAAGGCGACGAGCGAAGGAAAGGAAGGAGCTGTTGTCATTACCGAAGCTTAGGACTTTATTATTACAACGAATGAAAGAAAAGGGGATAACGCCGGAGCCAGTCGAAAGACAACGCATGCGGGTGAGTCGGAAGCGAAGGAAGGACACTCAGTCGGATGCACCAAAGAAGCAGCAGAAGCAGCAGCAGGAGCAACAGCAACAACAGCAGCAGCAGGAGCAACAGCAACAACAGCAGCAGCAGGAGCAACAGCAACAACAGCAGCAGCAGGAGCAACAGAAACAACAGCAGCAGCAGGAGCAACAGAAACAACAGCGGCAGCAGGAGCAACAGCAACAACAGCAGCAGCAGGATCAACAGCAACAACAGCAGCAGCAGGAGCAACAGCAACAACAGCAGCAGCAGGAGCAACAGAAAGAACAGCAGCAGCAGGAGCAACAGCAACAACAGCAGCAGCAGGAGCAACAGCAACAACAGCAGCAGCAGGAGCAACAGCAGCAGGAACCGTTGGAACCTTCCACGTATAGCTCGGAGCCCTTGCAAGAGGATGATTGGATCGCTATGGATTTATCTGTAACATCTGGGGAAGGCCAGCCCAGCACCTCCAAACAGCCGATTTCTCTTTCTCCTATTTCTATTTCCTCTTCTCCTTCTCCTCCTCCTCCTCCGTCTGCAGCAGCAAAAGCACCAGCAGCACCACGCCCTTGGATACCCGCGACACTCCCGCCACCCCATGTTATCTCACTTGAGACACTTCGGCAAAAGGCAATGAGTCTTTTGGAAACTCCTAGTGCTGCATCTGGAGGGGTACCAAGGGATGAGAGGGGTGTGCCTATTGCTGCAGTTGATACAGCAGCAAGCGCACCAGCCACGCAGGAGGCTCCTGCTGCTGGCGCTCCCTCTGCTACATCGCAAGAAAAGGGAAGGACACCGGGTCATGAGCTACCGGCACTTGCAAATTTACTGACAGTTTTCAGTGGAGGAGCTGAAACAGCAGAGCAAGCATTACAGCAGACCCACGGAGCACCTGGATCAAGCCAAACGACACCCACGAATCTCCCAGTTTTACTGGGTATAGCTCCACAAGTCTTAAATGGCCACCCATTTGTGCGTCTACCAAGGCGGTTAATGTATAACACTCCCCGTTCGCTTATGGTTGACATAAATACAGCCCTTTGTCGTCAAGCCAGGAGGGATGTAGGGGATTTTATCACCAGGGCACATCACCTCCTAAGTAAAAGTGTCTTAACTCCACATGAAATGGGGGATTTGGCGAGCGTAGCCGAAGAATTGATAACGCATGCATATTTTCGTCAGTGTTGCGACTTGACGTATCATTCGAGTACCCGGTCATTCGATCGTCTTGGTCTACGATTCGTTATCTTGGATATTATTGTGTCTACCTTTATAGTTCTTGGACAAACACCAGACCCCAATGCATGGAGAGCTTTTACAGAAAAGGTTAGCCACAAACCTCCACCTATACCTACCCTCGTAGGTGCCATCAGGCATTACCATTTTTATGGTTCTTGGGCACATCGAATCTCCCTCGCGATACAAAAGCTCAAGCGGCTGGAGAGGCCAGATCCATTAGAGCTTGTGAATATAAAAAGAGTTCTATTCTGCGCGAATGTTTCTCCTTTAATTTTTAAGAGACCAGAGTTCGATGCATATAGGGAGGATGATCGTAAATTCATGGAAACGATAAGGCGTTTCTCAGCGCCTGGAGGTTCACAACCCTAGAGGAAAAAGGAGAAAAGAAACAGAAAATATATAAATTTATATTTTGTTCGAAAGAAAAACAGAAGAAAAGAAGACATTGTTTGCTTTGTGCATGCATTTCTCCATATTCCACCGGCTGCAACTGCAATTATTTGCGGCAACCAATGATATTTTTATGAGTTGAAGAAGGGGTACCATTAATTAAGAAACAAAAGGCAAAAAGACATTACTTGCTTTGTGCATGCATTTCTCCATATTCAACCGGCTACATCTGCAATTATTCGTGGCAACCAAAGATATTTTTATGAGTTGAAGAAGGGTACCATTAATTAATTGTTTGTATATCCAGCAAAAAGGTAATAGTATAAACAATGAATTTATACAAGTCGTAGTATCCTTCTTATATGTGGAGTGCTCCGATCTTATTGAGAGGAAATGGAGCACAGATGGTACAGCGGCAACTAGATGTAAATGTATGAGAAGATGTAGCGAAGCTATATATATATGTTGATTAATTACTATTTCTTTCCTCATATGCGAACAAGTGTCTGTGTTTAATTGGATCATGATGTATTTCCTTTTGTTAACCAATTGTTGAAGAAAATCGTGGTCGTAGGTCGTATATGTATTACTGGCTACTCTTCTCCTTCGCCATAGCTGAACTTCTAGCTGAGGCCTTTTGTGCTAGTAATACGCCTGTGGAAATATACGTATTATATTATATGCAAATAAACAAACAGACAAAAAGGGAAGGAAGAAATTAGTGCAACAGCTGAGCGAAGAAACTTGGTGACTTCAATGACGTGGGGTATAGTAGCGGAAGAAAATTCGCATTGTAGTGAAGGCAAGGGAAGATGGCCATTGGTACAATGTACATGGCCAAGAAGAACAGCCTGCCCCTTGCTGCCTTACGTGCTTTTATTTATTTGCATAAATATATATATTTGTTGGCCATAAATAGCCAAAGAAGTGCTTAATAAATATATATATTATGCTGCAGCAATTCTTATCGCTGCTGGTGCTGGTGCGCAGTATTCATGTGTGCACGTATAGACGTATTCCCTTGTCAGGTCGCTCATGGCTTCTCTTTTCTTCTTGGCCACCTAATAAGGTCATTAATAACTATGCATTTGCAAACTCTAAAAAGAGTACATCTATATGAAATATTGGGGGACTCAACTATATTTTTTACTATGCATGCAAGATATATACTTGTAGAGAGAGTGTTGGGTATGCAACACGGGTATATCGAGTGTTGTCAGTACGCGCAAATATTTACTTGTCCTACAGATATTTATTATATAAATGTCCTCAATTAGGTAGTGTAGAGAATTCCTCTATTTAAATCTTGCTGCATAATATCCCCACCCTCTATTATACCCTACTGTCCTCTTGGCTCAAGGAATAATCTTACAGATAGTGGGTAAGCACTCCCCTTGCCCACAGCAACCCGACTATTCCCTTATATGTGTACATGTATGTAACTCCCCTAAGGGTAACACCACTTAATAGAGGTTTCTTTTCTGCTATAAATTCATGACAGTGACCTCGTAAACACAGTTTGGTGGGGTTGGTGCGGAAACAAAGATATGCGCAAGAAGTTGCACGCGTTGTCTTGCAGCTCCTCCTGCCACCGAGATCAGCATGCATGCATGCAGCGGCACCCATGCACAATTCTGAAGGTGACTTTTGGATATTTTATCCAATAATAACAAAAATATGCATGCATACATTAATATTTACCCAGTCGTTCTTAAAATGGTCTTGAGTTCTGAGCAGGAAGCAGAATCTACCTGGGCTGGTGGGGTGGCAAAGGGAACTACTCGTAACCCTTTCGTAGACAAATGCTATAAAAAAACTATTCTTTTACAATTATATACAGAGCTAGTGAAAGCAGGAAAAAAGGTTTGTTTGTCTTTGCGTGCGGGGCCGTGTTCGTACAATCACGGTATGTGGGTAGAGCAACTCGTGGCGGTCATTGTCTCGCTCACCCCCTCGCTCTCTCGTTGCTGCTGTGCTTAACATGCCTGAAAGTTGAGTAGAGAGTCTAATTTCTATTATACTAACCCTTTACTAATTATAGTTACATAACTACACTTGAGTACACTTCGTGATCACTCTTATACGAGCGAACGCTCTCTGTCACACGAGTCGTACGAGATCTGTGGATCGAGGGGTAATACGCTTGTTTCTACGTGATCAGCTTGGCTAGATTGGATAAAATTATTTAATTAATTGTTTTATTTAGTGTTATATTTAATATTTTTTGCGGATATGCATTGGTCCCACTGTGTAACATGTTGCATGCCAGTTCCCCACAGGAGGAGGGTACAATTACACTAGCAGGTAGACAAGTAGGGTGGAGAGGGAGCGTATTCAGATTGGTTTCTAATCAACGGAGGACTAAGGGAAAGAAAAAAGCAGAAAATAGGGGTAGATTTTATGTTCAAATAGAAGCAGGAAATAAGTTGTCCGTTGTTGTAATCCGTCTTCTCGTGCAGCCGACGAGCGGAGGGGGGCAATAAAGCGAAGCGATCTTCTTCCCTTTAAAATAATAAATGTATTCATAAAAAGCAGTTAATTTATAATAAAAATGAATTGTTTTTGTCGCTAAATCAACATGAATATGCTGGCGGTGGCTGGACAGCATGGATGATAGGCGGGGCCTCGATGCATGATACGATGAAGGCCGCACGAGTTCATTCAGAAAGCGAGTAGGGTGGCTGAAAGCGGCCTTGCTATCTTATAAGAGGAATAAAATAGACTTCTTTCCTTTTTACTATTATTAACTATAAATTATAATTCTTTTTGTTGATTTGTTTTTGTTCCTCTTCCTCTCCTCTTCCCCCCTGCTGTGGATTGTTGTTGTCCACCGAGTATTTATAGTGTGGAGCCCATTCAATATTCATGAATAAAAGTGTTTGGATCATAGACCACCAATTTTCTTGTCTATTCTTGTTTATTTGCTTTTTAATTGTCTGAAATCAATTATAATAATATATTTTGTGGTATATTTCGTATATTATGACCAGACGACGGGCTGAAGACGCGGTAGCAGCCAATGGATCGTAGTTCAACTTCACGCCATGGTGGGCTGGGGGAGGTATTTTCTAGCCTTTTACCAATGTCTACTCCTTTGTATAACAAAGGAATAACAACAGAATCATCATCAGCAGCAACAGGAGCAGCAACAGTAGCAGGAGACTTAGATGCCCCGCTCACCTCCTCCCCCACGAAGGGAGAAAGCATACAACATCGTGCATCATTATCATCTATATTATCATCAAGAAAAGAGAAGAAAAAGTATCAGCAAAGGGCTCTGTTTATTTCTTTAGCTATTTTTGTTGCTTTTATTATTCGTTTATTGCTTGTTGCATGCACTAATAATAATCCTTTCTTTAAAGGTATTCGTAGAGGGAATACAACAAGAAGATTAGCGCAACAACCATCAAAAGAAGAAGAAAATAAAACTCCTTCTCCTCTTGATGATGTATTTAATGAATTATGCCAAGAAATAGGTCCTTTTTTCCCGCTTTCCCCTCTTGAGGGGCCCTCTGAGGGCCCCCGCCTTTCCCCTAACTTTGTAGAGATGGAGTTAAGGTCAATAGAAAAAGGAGAAGAAGAAGATGATGATGAAGAAAGAGAGTTACAAGAATTCTTTGAAGAATTTAATTTCCTGCAGCCGCCAGAGCAGCAGGCTAGTATGCAACAGCAGCAGCAGCAGCAGCAGCAGCAGCAAATAATTCCGCAGCAAATTGTGCAACAAGGTATGCTGCAACAGCAGCAGCAGCAACAGCACATAATGCCGCAACAGATGCTAATGCAGCTAGATATGCAGCAGCAGCTGCAACAGCAGCAAATGATCCCGCAGCAGCAAATAATGCAGCAAGATATGCAGCAGCAGCTGCAACAGCAGCAAATGATCCCGCAGCAGCAAATAATGCAGCAAGATATGCAGCAGCAGCAGCCGCAGCAAATAGTGCCGCAACAGATAATGATGCCCCAACAGCAAATGCAGCAGCAGCAGCTGATGATGATGCAGCAGCCGCAGCAGTTTATAGGGCAACAGATGCAGCAGCAGCCTCAGCAGCAGCCGCAGCAGCAGATGATGATGCCGCCGCCTGCTGCAGCAGCAGCAGCACAATATCCAACTGTACACCCAGCAGCAGGACCACTATTAGCAGGAGTACTAGGACCACAGCAGCAGCCACAGCCAGGAATGTCAGCAGCAGCAGCAGCAGCAACAGCAGCAGCAGCACGAGCACTGGGACAACCACAGCAGCAACAACAGACAAGAGGACCACCACCATTAGTACCAATAGTGCCACGAGGAAGATCATCACCATTCGTAGCACGAGGAGGAGGAGGAGCAGCAGTAGCAGCAGCAGCAGCAAGAGCGCGAGGGAAGCCATACCAACGAGTAATGCTACCTCCACCACCACCATTACAATCAGCAGCAGGAGGTGCAGCAAGACATGCTGCAGCAGCAACAGGTGCTGCTGCTGCACTAGGATATCATACAGCAGCAGCAGCACAACATCTACCATTCCTACACGCATCATTACCCCCACCACCACCATTACAGCCAGCAGCAGCAGCAAGACCAGCAGCAGCAGCAGCACCAGCAGCACTAGGGCAGCAACCCCACCATGCAATGCTACCCCCACTACCACCATTACATCCAACAGTAGCAGCAGTAGGACCACCAGCACCACTAGGAGCACCACCAGCAGCAGGAACAGCAGCAGCAGCAGCAGCAGCAGCAGAACTAGAACAAGTGCTGATGCCACCACCATCATTAATAGACGGAGAAGCATCAGTAGCAGCAGCAGGATCAGCAGCAGCAGCAGCACTAGGACAACAATCACCAATGTTACCCCCACCATCACCATTACAACAGGCACTAGCAGCAGGAATACCAGCAGCAGCAGCAGCAGCAGAAGCAGCAGCAGAATCACCAGGAAGCTCACCAGGAACATTATCATCAGGAGGGTCACCAGGATCAGCATCATCAGCAGGATCACCAGAATCAGCAGCAGCAGCAGGAGGGTCACCAGGAGGAGCAGCAGGAGCAGCAGCAGGAGGAGAGTCACCACCAGAGAAAGAATCATCACCAGTAGAATTAATGCCTAATTTGCACCGATTGCTGCTGCAGCAACCACGAATAAGTCCAGCAGCAGCAGCACAAGTAGCAGCAGCAGCAGCAGCACAAGCAAAAACAATAGCAGCAACAGTAAGACCAACCTCTGCAGCAGCACGACATCTTGCAGGAATGCAGCAAGGAAAAGGTGCAGCACCAGCAGCAGGAGGAGCAGCAGGAGCAGCACGTGCAGCAGCAGGAGGTGTAGGAAGACAAAGATTATCAGTACCTGCTCAAAAAGCGTTAAGAGCAGCAGCAGAGACAACAGCAGCAGCAGCAATGGCAGCAGCAGAAGAGGAAGGAATACCTCGTGCTGCTGCTGCTGCTGCTACTGCTGCTATATACAATTTCCCCCAAATAAGTGCCCTTGTTACTCGGCCTGTTACCCCTGTATACAAATTCTGGCCAAGACCTGGATCCTATGGGGAGGGCTATGAGTATACTGACTCTCGTGCTGCTGTTGCTGCTGCTGCTGCTGCTGATGGTGGTGCTGCTGCAGCAAGAAATACACAAACAGCAACAGGAACAAGACGATCACCACCTGGTGCTGCTACAGCAGCAGCAGCAGGAGGGAATTATGCTGCAGCAAAAGTTGCACAAAAACAACAACAAGAAGAAGAACAGCAGCAGCAGCAGCAGCAACAGGAACAGCAGCAGCAACAGGAACAGCAGCAGCAGCAGCAACAACAGATGCCTCTGCCGATACCACTGCTGCTGCCAGTGCAGCAGCAAACAAGTCCTTCTTCTTTTGTTTTATCTAGCCAAGCACATATGGCATTAGCTGAGGTACTTGTTGCTAATCCTAGTCTTGCTGCAGCAACAGCAGTTGTTGATGCTGCTGCTGCTGCTGCAGCAGGAGCAGCAACTGCTGCAGCAGCAGAAGATGCAGATGGTGCTGCACCACCAAGAGAATTATCTTCTGTTAATCAAGAGACACAGCAAACAGGTACAGGAGATGCACCAAGTACATCAGCAGCAGCAGCAGCAGAAACAGCAGCAGCAGCAGCAGCAACAGCAGCAGCAGTTGCAGGAGCAATGGGTCCTCCTTATTCATTAAGACAATTGCTGCTGCAGCAGACACCACCAAAGGTTAAACCTATGTCTCCCCCCCCTATACAGACAAAAAAGTCTGCTGCTGCTGCTGCTGCTGCTTCTCGTCGTCGTACAGCAGCAACAGGACGTACTAAGAAAAAGATAGATATAGATGCAAAAGGTCAACCCTATCCAAGCAGAAGCAGGAGCAGCAGGAGCAGCAAGGGCAGCAGCAGCAGCACAGAGAGCATGCAACCAGAAGAAGATAAATGGATATCTATAGGTACAGATAACGCAGGGGAGGACGGCAGCAGCAAGGACAACAGCAGCAGCAGCAGCAGCACAATAACAAAACCTAATGAAGAAATGGTAACTAGTACTATAACAGCAACAGCAGGAGGAGGAGCAGCAACAGCAGCAACAGCAACAACATCATCAGCAGCAGCAGGAAGATTACGTTCATCATCTGTAATAGCAAAATTAGCAGCAGCAGCAAGAGCAGCAAGAGCAGCAGCAGCAGCACCAAGTAGACATGAGAAGGATGAAGCCTTAGCAGCATATTATTTAGATGATGATGATGACGAAGAAGAAGAAGAAGAAGAAGAAGAGCAGCAAGAGCAGCAGCAGCTGCAGCAGAAGTATTACAGGTATTATTTTGCATCAACATCTGTAGCAGCAGATGCAGATGCAGCAGCAGATGCAGAAATTGCTCAATTAGTAGCAGCAAAACCCCCAGCAGCAGCAGCAGGAGCAGGAGGAGCAGGAGGAGGAGCAGGAGGAGGAGAAGAAGAAGAAGAAAATAATATAAATAATCATGCATTAATATATATACCTAAATTAATTGATGGGGTAATTCCTCGTAAATTTAGTCTACATAGATTAAATATGCCAGTAATGCATGGAGGATTAGTAAGTATAATAAGAGAAATAGATAATACAATAAAAAAAAAGAAAAGAAATAAAAAAAAAATAAATAAAAAAGAAGCAGATTATTTAATTAAATTAATTGAAGATCTTGTGGTGTATGGACACCATTAACTAAGAGATAAAAATATTAGTGAATTAAATCCTGCTGCTTGTTTATATAAATTAGGAGTTAGATTTATATATTATGATTATTTATATAGATTAAAAAATATATTTATTAATAATATAAATAATAATAATAATAATTATAATTATTAAAATTATTTATTTATTAATAAATGGGCTTCTTTTGTTAATAATTATGTTTTTCTTAATTTTACACATAGTAAACCACAAAGAAATAATAATTCATCAATTAAATATTATAAATTAAATAAAAAAATTAATTATTTTATTAATTTAATTCAACAAGATATAAATACATTAGCTAATCTTTCTTCTTCTTCTTCTTCTTCTTCTTCTTCTTCTTCTTCTCCTTTTTCCTCTTTTTCTCCCTCTTTTTCTCCTTTTTCTCTCTTTTTATTAAAAAAAGAATTATTTTGTCAAGAAGATTCACCAAGTGTATTCAAACATCCACAATGGAACTTTATTAGGGAGGATTGCTAATTTATTTATTTATTTATTTATTTATTTATTTTATTTATTTATTTATTTATTTATTTATTTATTTTATTTATTTATTTGAGTCAACGAGTCTTATTAGAGAAGATTATATGATTAAATATAAATATATAAATAAATAAATAAATATAATTAATTAATTAATTAATTAATTAATTATATTTAATTAATTAATTAATTAATTATATTTAATTAATTAATTATTTAATTAATTAATTATATTTAATTAATTAATTAATTAATTAATTATATTTAATTAATTAATTAATTAATTAATTAATTATAAATAGATGTATTATTGATGATGATTCACCAAATGTTTATAAAGGACCATCATGCAACTAATTAG